ATAAGTTGTTTCTGCTGTAATTGGGGACTTCTAGATTGGGTCTCTTAGCTGCTGTTTGTTGAGCATTTAGCAGGTTTGCTCACCCTGCTTTCTGTTGCTAAAGCTAATAAAAATCTCTGACTTACCGAAGAAAGACAAATTTACGAAATCATCGCTATGAATTCTTCCTGATACTTCTATGTTGAACAAAAAGCTAGATCTTTTGAAACAAACTAGCTAGGCACTTGAAAATCTTCCAATTGTGGTTCATGCGTTTACATGACGATCATGAGATGATCTTCCTTGGAAAAATTCAAGGGTAATTGAAGCAAAACGGTGACACCCCGAAGCGAAAATAAGCATGAACAGTACTGTTTAAGGTTGAGGACAAAGATGTTTCATCACAATGGTCCAATTAGGAAGAGTTTCTGATATGACTCCAAAGTTCAATACTTGTACCGTTAATAACGATAGAACCGCTGTGACTTTCATGATTTGTTACACCAAACAACGCTCCGCGAAATCTTGTAAAGTTCGAGGAAGCTTCTTGGAAGGTCGATACAAAAATAACCTAAGTTATTCTCGTATTTCCCTGTTTGTGGTTGAAGAAGCAAAGAGACAAAGTTAATTTAATCAAGAAAACAAAAACAAAGAAACTCATATTTCCATTTGTCAAACGGAGCAGTCCAAAGTCAATGAATTAAAGAAACCAAGTTGGATAAGTAAACCCTACAAAGAGCTTAGCAGATGGCTAATCAGATTTGATCTATTTTGTTTACTCGGCACCCATTATCATATTGATACGCTTGTCGATCAAGCGAATGAGGTAAGGGGGTTTGAAAAACAGGCCCCCAGCAAATCTTACTGTCTTGATTTTCACAGTATCTTCGTTAATCACTATTTAAAACTTCCTTAACGTCACACCCTTGTGCGGACAAGAAACGCTAATCAAGGTTAAAGTCCTGAGAGAGCAAGTCAAAGAAGGGTTAAAGAGTCCATGCACTTTCAAATTGTCAACCCGGGGCTGTGTCCCAGTCAGCACTGCGTGCTTCCCAATGTGAGCAGGTGAAAATTGGACGGTGAATACAAGTGTTTCATTCATGAAAGAATTATTATGTTATGCACAACATGTGCATCCCCAGTTAAAATTTGTTTGAGAGACGATCACAGAATCTCCAGCATGATCAGCATCCAAGAAGTTAGTCATCACGAGAGGGGACGTGGCCCAAAAATGAAGTTCATGAAAGGGTGTATCTTAATGTACTGAAGAATACATGGAGAATTACCAAAAATGTCCTCAACCTATTACAATTGTACCAATTCAGTCTTAAACTTTTTTTTTGCCAATTCAGTCCTAAACCTTTTGCATTTGTGTCAATTCAATCCATTCGGTCAAGTTTGGCCGGCCGACGTCTACGTCAACGCCGACTTATCAAAATTGGTTGGATGGATTGAATTGGCACAAATACAAAAGGTTTAGAACCGAATTAGCATAATTGTAATAGATTTAGGACTTTCTTGGTAATTTCCCCAAAAAATACACAAAACTACAACATAGTGAGTAGTGCGTGGAGCCGACATGAACCAACTAACAACATGAAGCGAACACAAAATATACCGAATGATTTCTATACTTCACCGGAATGAACAAATACAAGCAGCGGCGGTCCTTTATATAGACCCCAAATTGATATGAAAAGATATACAAGATATCCGCATGTTTTCGAATATTTGCGAGATTCGGGTAAATCGCGAAAAATATCCAACTAAATTAAATCAAATATGCAACATATCGAACTCGATATATCATTTAATAGTTTCAAGCTAGTAGCGAACTCATTAAGAGAGAGAACCCAAAAAGGACTTCCCAAGCTACAACATGGAGTATAAGAGAAGCAAGCTTTGAAATACAACTTTATACGACACTATAAATTGACAAATCGGATGAGCGTTTAAATGTCATCCTAAGACCATAGGATTCATTGGGTCAACATAATGTTAGATTGACAGTAGAACTAATCCACGCTTAAAACACTAACTACCATTGAAGTTTATACAAATCAATGTACATACAGCCCTTGAGACTTTTCCAATCAATGGGCGTCATTAGCATAGATTATATAAAAAAATAATGATATAATAACAATAATCATAGTGGATGAACGAGTCACGAGGATTATATCAACTTCGTGTACGTGACACTGGAGCATTGAGTTATCAAGGTCAGTCCTATCTTTAGGGTGCTATTTTCGAAGACTTTTTTCTCTTGGGGGGAACTTGTCTAGGCATTATACACTGCATCTTGGGGCTGTTTGACTAAGTTGGCCTGGTTCAAGTTTTGGGTCCTTAATGTCAAGAATCGACAGATAATATATAGTAATTGGAACCTTTTTTTTTTTAATATACGACAGTAATTTTGTTTGACCCTTTATGATAGTTCAAAGGTGGATTAAGTAACAGTCACGTGGAAACCATGGAATAACTTAAGTTTTCTGTCCTGATAAGAAGGAGCTTGCTTCGCATATTTACAGGGGTTTAGCTAGGGTTTGGTAAAAACAGGTTTGGAAAAAATTACACAATAGCGTGGATTGACCAGCCAGATTGGTAATAGCAGCTGAGGTCATTTCGAGGACTTTGAATCATCAAAGATAACTCGCCACCTTTTAACCATTCTTTGCCCAGTATTTTTCAAACGGATTGATCATGATTCAAGTTGACTGGTGTCGCTGTGTTGTATTAGGGCTGCGAGTTCTTTGGTTTTCTCCATCGATTGCATTCGCAATTTTCTAGCTAAACCGAAAGGACAAGCTGACTCAGGTACATCACATTTTTAAAAGAGGGAAAGAAAATCAAGAACGGTTGTTGGTGGCTGTGACGGACGCGTCGGGATCGCGGTCAACCTCGTGTAGATCCCGAATTCAGGAAACCATGCAATTAGGTTAACGATAATAAGGACAGAGAAGGGGCGCTCCATTTGTTTAAAGGAAAGCAAATTATGCTTTGCTTTACGCAAGGTCTGTCCATGGCATGGTGTTAGATCATGTCTTGTTGCGTCTGCGGTGACATAACGGGGGCTCAGTCGACTCGTGCCTTCAAAAAGAGCAGTTGAAACCACTGGTGTGGACTTTCAGACTCGGAATCAGTTCTTGGCGGCTGATCCCTCATCGACGAGGACGTCGAGCATCTCACAATTATGATCTTGTAAGAATAACAATTGGCCTTTGCTTTTGTCTTTAAAATACAAAAAATGGATTGAAGTCTTGATTCTCTCGTATTCAGATGCGCATATATTTTGCTGTAACAGGAGCTTGACTGTGTCTTCTGTTGTCTGGACCTCGCCACTTTCCTCATTATATGTGAAAGGACGACTCGTGCAATGTTGAAATGATCCAACAATTATTAGCATAATTTCCAAGTCTAGCCATATATGATGGGCTGGCATTGGTAGATATTGAGAAATTAATCTTCACAGGGTGACACTCAAACTACACAAAGGACGTAGGGATGGATTTAGAATAATGTATCGGGAGGTAAGGCTAATCAGTTTCAGGGTGAGTAGGCTCCAAATCAAGAATTTGGAATTTACTCTATTAAAGCAAATCCTCGATTTTTGGAATCGAGGACCGAACCAGTCGACCCTGGAAAGAGTGTGAAAACCTATGATATTATGGAGATCTTAGCGAGAAAGGATTGGTTAATAATTTTGATGGAGAAATTCGAGATGTCATATTTCGATTTTTATGTCGTTGTCCTATGCATAAAGTATACTGGGAGTTGAGTTCGCATTCTCCATCCCTTCAGAAGTAGACCATTTAGGTGGAGATTAAAAAATTCACGAGGAACTGTTTTCTTGCGATCCAATCATAAAAAATTATGCTGAACGGGTAATAAGCAAGAGATCTTACCCTTTCCATAAGTTTTGAGGAGGTATAGTAACTAATGTGAAAGGTTGAAGAAACTAGAAAATGGTCTATCTTTGCGTGTGTACACAAACTGGCTTGAACTCTTCTTCTCTTTTACCATTTGACTCTCTTGAAAAGGAAAAAAAATGAAGTCCACTTATGGAGAGAACAACGATTCTTCTATCTTGAGATCTTAGAAGAGACAATCTAGAAATCTCACTTCATTATTTCAGAATCAGTATTTCGTGTATGAGCAGCATTTTCTAACTAACCCCTGAAGTTTCTGTGTCATCCACAGTTGTTGGACCTAAAAGCCAATTAAATGACATCATAAACCCCTCTCGCACGACAATCTGTTCACTCAACATCATTATTTTATGGGGTTTTTCGTTTAAAGAAAAGCAGCATTATATTAACATTTATTTTAAGGATTAATATCACGAAAAAACCCAAACCGGTACACGTATGACAAATTTATTCTCTGTTAGTTTTCGTTAAATTGGATTAATACCACGAAAAATCACAAACCGGTTCACCTGTGACAAACGGAGGGTAAAACCCCAAACTAGTGTACTCGTCAACTGTCACATGTCATTCAACTCAACAATTTGATAGAAAAATTTAACGGAAACTAATAGAAGGTAAGTCTGTCACAGATGTACTAATTTGGAGTTTTTCGTGGTATTTAACATTATTTTAATCTGCAATACAAATGCAAGTGAAGAGGATTGGATAAAACTTATCTAAGAATCGGCATAAGATAGATAAGAATAATGACTTTTATGTATTTGTCGATTTTCATGATTGATCTTTTGTCACTACGCGATATTGGATAACCATTGTAATTTTAAAATTTTAATAAAGAAAAAGGAAAGTGCTCGAGGGTTGCAATGCTTCACGATGAGAGTACGATTCTTCTTAACAAGGACAAACCTAAAATTCACAAAAAACCTAACATTCATATTTCCTCACTCAATGCCTCAATTCTTTGGGAAAGTTCAAAAAGCATTTCTTTTCCGTTAAGTGAAGAAAAATATAAAACTCTAAATCACTTGTATGACGACGACCTACACTTGTTTGACTAACCTTCGCCATGCAATTATAAAAGCCAACGGCCGTTCCTCAGAAGTTTCCAAATCACATACACTCTCTATCCACAATCCATCGCAGCGCTCTCGTCTTTGGTTCGCTTCCCTTCATCGAATCACTCCCTGCACGCAAAATGGTTCGATCTCCGTGCTGCTCCGGTGACCACCACGAGGCGGATGGGTTGAAGAAAGGGCCGTGGAGCGCTGAGGAAGACACGAAGCTGAGCGAGTACATAGAGAAGGAAGGCCATGGGAGATGGAGTGACCTCCCCAGGAAAGCAGGCCTCAACAGGTGCGGCAAGAGCTGCAGATTGAGGTGGATCAATTACCTGAGGCCTGACATCAAGAGAGGCAACTTCTCTGAAGAAGAAGAGGCCATGATCATCAACTCCCACTCTCTTTACGGAAACAAGTAAGTAGCCTCGCTCTTTCCTTTCTTTAACTTGTTTTTGCTTGATCAAACAAGTAAGAATCTTAGCAACTTTTTTTCCAATTTAAAGAAAAAATTCACCTGTGGATAACAGTTGGTTCCAATAAAAGCATATTTTGATAGAATTCAGATATTGTAGTTTTTTGGACGTTTGCATGCTACCACTGTGGAATTTCCAAATGGCACGAACATATCCATAAATAATTCATTCATTTTAGATACTCTTGTTAACTCGATCAGTTGTTATCATATTAATATGGATTTTTGCCAGTTAATGATGACCGGAATAAAGATTGGCCCTTGGCAGAAGGAAAAATTAAAATCCAAATGTCGGTTTATTACCTTTATCGTCAAAACTAGCTAAGTCCTGTAACAGACGCATTGACACCAGTCTTACGTGTCGACGCTCCAGAATTGGTGAAGTGAAATTAATAGGATGGGCATACATGCACATCACATCTTTGGTGCTTGTTGTGAAATTCGTAAGGACTATAATTGCTTGAGCTTAATTAAAGATCAAACCGACCGTCTCTTCTTTTCATTTTGCATCATAGGTGGTCGAAGATTGCAAGCCATCTCCATGGGAGGACAGACAACGAAATCAAGAACCATTGGAACACCCGCATGAGGAAGAAGCTACTCCGGATGGGCATCGATCCGAACACCCACAAGCCAAGGACTGATCATCTCAACCAAGCCATGAACCTTTCACAGTTGCTAAGTACTACTGGTGGACCACACTTGGGCAGCTCATCACTGTGCCCTTTGGAGAATGCCATTGCAAATGCCGCTGAACTAGCCAAGCTACAACTTCACAGCTTGCTAGTGCAGATCATAGGCACAAGCAGCCCACCTCCAATCTTGGATCATAGCACCAATAGTCTATTGGGGATCCTAAATTACGATAATCGCCATCTGCGTGTTCCAGGGCTTGCTCCAACCATTGAGCACCAAGCAGTGAACCAATTATCGCCATGGCCAAGTTATGGAGGTGGGTTTGAAGTTACTATGGGAGATGATACTGTTGGGTTGTGCAACAACGCATGCCTGATTCGACCAGAAAATCCACTTCCTCAACTGGTCTCAGCCTCTCCTGAGGATTCTAAAATAATGAACCAAATTGAAAGTGAGAGCCTTCCAATTTGTAACAACTGGCCTCCACAATCTCAATCCCTCAACTTTGTCGAGGACTGGGACAAGCTGCTTGAAGATGACACAAGTGCCTCCTTCTTGAGAGAGATTCTGCAATAGGTACGCTTTCTTATGATTTTTCCACTCCTTATTTCAACACCGAATTAGCTACATTACGACTAAAAAACGGAAAAACATTATCTGCTTATGTAGACTAACTACAGATATGCAAACTCCGTCCAACCCCTTAGTAGACCATTGTTGTCTAGACCACTACCGGTGTAGTTGTCTGGCCAAAAAGATATTGCCAATGTAATTACTCGTCGATAAATAAAGATATGTCATTTGTTGACATTAAATATATTTCCTCATTCTGTACTTAGCTCTCATTTTGGTCAATTCTGTCTTAATATTTAAACAGGATGTATTTTTCTCGTTTGTTCAGCCAAAGACCATGTTCGTCCCTCACTGCAACTGCGGCAAATCAAAGTTGAGACCATCTCCATACGGATTTACGAGCATCACATGGAGAACCACCAAAGCAAAATTCATAATTTTTCTCTGGGTTTGCTCTATTGTCTATTCCTATTCAGTATTCACGTGTTGATAATTCTTAATATTTGGAAAAGCCTGTATGTAGTGATGTTTTCAATGATGTGGAAAGTGAAAAGAAGAAAGAAGCCACGCGTGGACCAATGTGAAACTTTCATATCATATGCTGTTGTATCAAATATAAACACACACATACACACCTGCAGCCTTTGTTCTTTTCCTGTAAGATCATTTCTGGTGTATAAAATTCGCATGAATAATATTGATGAGTGATGTGATACTCTTTCATTTGACTATTGTCCTAGCCATGGCCATCACGCTATTACCGACACTCGTTGATTTTCTTGAAATCCTCTCTCTCTCTCTCTCTCTCTCACACGTAAGATCTAATCATTTATATTAAACAAAAAGAAAAAAGGTTTAGGCTTTTATGCTGTAGGGTTAATGATGGCATCTGTTTAAAGTCTTCACAAGACAGATCACATTAGGTTCAACATTGCACGCAACGAGCATAAGCCGATTGACTACTGTTGCAAAAATCCATAACTAACCTAACAACCTAAGCTTCAGTGTTCCCTTTCACAATCCTAATGGTCTCTGTCGGGAAACCACAGCATTAGGTGAATTTAGGAGTTTTAGGAGCTTATCCTCTTGCCAGATTAACACGCGAAATTAAAGGGTTTCCTTAGGGCGGCTCTACTCAGAACGAGGACCATTCCTAGGAGGGGAAATAAGTAGAGAGAGAGAGAGAGAGAGAGAGAGAGAGAGAGAGAGAGAGAGAGAGAGAGAGAGATGCATCTTCTTTGATACATCCATCTGTTTTGTGCTCCCTAAGCTGTTTTTTTTTCCTGCAGATTAGTTGAGTCTTTATGGATAATAATGCATGATTATGAGTCTAGCTTTGACTTGTGCAAATCATGTATGTTGACTTTAATTCACGATTGAAAAGCACAATTGGAGAATGCACGCTGGGAAGCATAAAAAGGGAAAAAAAAAGGAAAGAAAAATAGATGTATGATGTCCCAGAAATGTACTTATGGTACATATCTGTTTCGCCAAAATTATTCCCACGACGAAATATAATTCACCGAAAGTCATTCTTCGATTTTTAATTAAAGGAGACCGGGCTCTGTGACTAATTTCGGACATGAGGTATCCAGGCGTGGACAAAGAGTTTGATTGTCTTGATCAATAATACAAGTTTCGTACAGTAACGAAGTTCGACTTATATTTATAGACAATTCAGAAAAATCCGTCCAGTTACTAACTGGCGGCATCCAAAGTTCATCGATGCAATATTACAAAGCTACTGACTTATAAAGTAAACAACTACAGCTATGGAAACTAAATGTGTGATACTGAAAAGTAAAGATAATTGAAAGACAACATTTTGGTTTGTATTCGCGGGGGGAGGGGGGGCTTTCTCTTGGCAACCGAGTGCTATTTATAATGTGGGCTTAATAACCGCCTTCTGATGTCGTGTTTAATAACCATCGTTGATCTCATCTTCGCCGCTCGTCCATTAACTGCCATCGATATTATCTTTTTGTTCTGACAACTGTCCTCTTCGAGGTGATAACCGTCATCGAGCTTATATCGTCTTGATACCTGTCCTTCCTGAGGTGATAACCATTGTCGAGCTCTTCTCATCCTGATACATGTCCTTCCTAGAGTGATAAATCGTCATCGAGCTCTTTTCCTATTGATGCCTGTCTTTCTTGAGGCGATAACCGTCGTCGAGTTCTTCTCATCTTGACACCTGTCCTTGGCGGGGTGATAACTGTCATCGAGTTCTTCTCTTCTTGACACTTGTCCTTCTTGGGTGATAATCGTCATCGAGCTCTTCTCATATTGACACCTGTCTTTTTTCTTGTCGACAACCTCGATGACTTGAATCCCATATGATAATTTTCGTCGACAACTTTTGGCGCTTGTTTCTTCTTTGGCTTAAGCTTTTCAATTTCAAACTCCTGAACTCCCCGCCGGTACCTCCCAGTACTTGCCAACTGTTTTGCTAATGTGAGCGATCTCATATGGGCTACGTCATCCTTCAACATCTTTTATTATTTTATTTACTTATTTCGGTTGTCTACAACCTAATTAATTATAGGTGTCAACAATATCGTACCCCATAAAGTTCAGCTCACATAGAAGTTATTGGATGGATATAGGGAAGATTACCAAAAAGTCCTAACCTATTGTGCTTGTTGTACTAATTCAATCCTAAATCTTTTAATGTTGGCTAATTTTGTCCTTCTAAACCTTCTGACAATTTGCCAATTGAGTCCTGGGCTGGAAATTGCTGATGTAGATGCCGGTCGTCCTATATGGCAAGGCCGACGGACACCCGACGCTGACATGGACAATTTCTATAATTTTAAAAAGAAATTAATTTTTTTTTGTAATTTTGAATTTTTATTTTCTTTTTTTGTTTGCTTTTTTTTCATTGTGCTGGTGAACCTCGCCTGCAAAATGAAAAAAACAATCAGCAAAGAAAAAAGAAAAATAAAAAATGCAGAAAAAAGTCAAAATTCAAATTTTAAAAAAAAATTACATAAATTGTCCACGTCAGCGATTTCCAGCCAAAATTGGCTCGAATCACTCAATTGACAAATTTTCAAAAGGTTTATAATTAAACTGGTTAAATCGAAAGGTTTATGACCGAATTGGCATAAATGCAATAAGTTTACGACTTTGTTGGTAATTTCCCCGATGGATATACGAGCCACAAATATTAATTATACCACTCATTCTTTCTTCCATTCCATTGTGTTTTTTATGCAGATGGCCAAGTGTGCAGCAGACTTAATCATCCCATCGCAAACCCCTTTTTTAAATGTTTAAATGACAATTAGCTCGCCTGTGCGTCAGAAATATCTCAAGCTAGGCCTTGCGCCTATCCAAGCAAGGATAGGAGGGGAGGGAAGAGACCTCTTAGTTGTTTTTGTCGCCAACCCAAGCAGAGAAACTAAACCCTAAACTTTGGAGATAAGTAGTCTATATAGGGCCTTCAACTTGGAAATAAGTTATCTCGATCTTCTTTCGCAGAAGAAGCAGAAAAATCCTTTTATGCGACACTTGAGGAATGATTCAACAGTGGTGGAGACTTACTAATGAATTATAGGAGGAAGCGGAATCACTCGGTGTCAAATATATATCGAATTTTATAATTTTACTCCTGATGAAAAGGCTATTTTATAACGTGATTTCCTTTCAGCACTTATCGAATCGGATTGGAGAGGTCTTAAAACTTAATATCGGGTTGAGAGAGGTCAGAGGTTTCTTGAATAGATCCTTCGATATGACATTTTTCCATTTGGTAATGGGAATGATGGGGATGTTGGAGGTTGAGGAAAGTGAATAGCTTGCAACTATCAATGGCAATATTTTCCATTGATGATGAATCCGTTCCCCTAAGAATTACTGCTTGTTCTTGATAGAACAACAAGATGAAACACATGATCGTAACTTCTGATATCTGAACACAAATGAAAAAATGATATAAATAGTCTATGAACTTTGATCCGATGTGTAATATTATCCCTATAATTTTAATTTATTCAATGTGGTCCTTGAACATTATTCCAATATGCAACGTCGTATGTAAATTTTTAATTTGTTCAATATAATTCTTGAACTTTTGGTGATTTAGTCTATAGACTATATGAAAATATTTAATGTTGCCCCTGAACTTGAATTAATAGAAGAACAACATTGAATATTACATATAGTTTAGTGACTAAATTGAACATTTACCAAAAGTTCAGGAACTACATTGAACAAATTAAAAATTTAAGAACAATATTACATATTGGACTAAAGTTCAGGAATCACATTCAACAAATTAAAAGTCCATAAATGATATTAGAAATAGGGTCAAAGTTCAGAGACATTTTATGTAATTATCTCAAAACAAATTTTTGTTTTCTGGGGAGGCCTCACCATCAATTTCCATCAATTCCGAAGTATTTAAAATCATGGGTTCGAGCCCAAAAGACAAATCGTAGTTAGATATGTGCAAGCCCATGAAGATGGATGGGTAAGGAAGAGCCCATTGTTGCAAAGTTTTTTCAGCTCCTATTCTGTAGACTTTCGATTAAATGAAATTCCTCAGGATGCATTAGTGCAAGGCCTACAGCAAATGTCTGAAATTGAACTCGTGTTCCATCAGGTCATACAGTCGTGAGTTTTCTTCCGTTTTTTTCCCACCATACGAAGTTCAGCCCGAATTGATCCATTTAATCAGTCTTAACTAATTTCATTGTAATACAAATCTAGTGACCTCATATTCGACCCGACTCATATTACTAAAATACTTTTATATTTAACCTAATCTAGAAAAACCCATATCCAAACTAAAGTGAGCACAGAGTGAGCGAGCGCAAGATCAAATACGGGCATGAGAGAGTCATAGATATGAGTTGGGTCTAAGTAAGTTGTGAATCCATTTAACACTCATATTATTTTAAGTTTTACTATTGTAACCTTAATTATAATTCATTTACTGAATATAACTAACCCATACAACAATCCAGTCCATCAAATATAGGTTGAGAAATGAATGGGAAAAGTGTCAGAAAATCCTAAATATTTTGCATTGGTGCCAATTGAGTTCTAAACCTTTTTTTGGTGCCAATTGAGTCCTAAACCTTTTGTCTTTGTACCAATTCAGTCCTTTCAGCTAATTTTGGCCGGATTTTGCTGACGTCGACTCCGGCGCTAACGTATACAACTTTTTATAATATTTTAAATATTTTTTGAATTTTTACTTATTTTTTAATTCTTTTTTATTCTTTTTCTTTTTTTGCCCCTCCCTCCCTCTTCCTCCAGCCGGTCACCAGACTGGCAACCGGGCCACAGGCCGGCGAGGGCGGCCTCGCACTGGGTTGGCGAGGTTTGCCCTTGCCGGCCATGGGCGAGGTCGTGCCTCGCCCAGCCTCTGGTGAGGGCTGGGCGAACCCCGCCATGGTTGGGCGAGGCTCGCCTTCGCTGTCGCTGGCGAGGGCGAGCCTCGCCAGTGGCCGGCCTCTGACTAGTCGCCGGTTCGGCGATCGGCTAGAGGAATAGGGAGGGGAGTAAAAAAAAAAAGAAAAAGAAAAGAAAAAAATAAGTAAAATTTCAAAAAATTATTAAAAAATTATTAAAAGTTGTACGTGTCAGCGCCGGCTGGCGTCCATGTAAGCAAAATCCGGCCAAAATTAGCTGGAAGGGCTGAATTGGCACAAAAATAAAAGGTTTAGGACTTAATTGGCACAAAAAATAGGTTTATGACTCAATCGGCATAAATACAAAAGGTTTATAACTTTTTTGACACTTTTCCCAAAAATGGATCAATGACCCATTTTGACAGGTCTACTTGGTTGTGTGTTAGAGAACTAGGCAAAGCGTAACAGTTTTATGAATAGCGAAATTTTCTCTATTTAAGAACGAATGAATAATAATCACGAGGCTTACTTTTTGAATGATGACATCTTGTGACGAAAAACGAACGTGCATCAAAACCCATTTCGTACAAATCAAGTCATGTACTCGAGAAAAGTCCGATTCCTGAATAAACAGACATTATCTACACATAATATAGGTAAACATTCTTCTCATTTTTTGAGCATACAAGCCCCATTTCCATCTTGTAAATGAATTATTAAATTATATCTCGAGTTTGAGCCGTTCATGGAACCCGACTTAATTGAAAGATATGAATTGGTTTATAGGATTTGTTAGGAAATAAATCCAAGAATTCTAATTGGATTAGAATTTTAGAGAAGTATTTGTTTTTTTTTTTTTTAAGATAACAATACCCATTGCACTGGCACATAGATTTGACCTGGGAGCAAAAGTCAAAGGAGATAATTATCCAAGATTCGGTCAACGCACTGATTCCTCGATAATTATCAAAATTTGAAAGACTTGGACTCTTGGATGTCTTCTCTAACGTTCGTACGCGCACGCAGCTCTCCGGCTCTGTGCTTGAATATCGGGTAATTTGTGCTGTGAATTTTATCATCCAATTGAGTTTATTTATTTGTAAACACTTTGGGTTTAGGTGTAATCTAGATGGGAGAAATACCCGAGTATACAAGTGAATGCAACTCTGATTCTTCGATTATAGTAGACTATTTGCGGCCGACTCTCCCTTGAAGATAAGTACCGACACTCGGATCGAATCAAGTAAATCCTTAGATCTCGTCGTTTCCGCATTCATATTTCAACACCGACAAACACCTGCACATACTAATCTATGGGAGGAATATCACAACGTCTCATACGTCAATCACAACACGCGTAAACTGAAAATTAGTCTTAAACTTGTCATTGTTTAAGCCCGCCTAATAAACCAGTGCTTAGCGTCGTTATGTTTAAGAAACTAATGACCTCCTAAAAAGCTTATGGATGTCGTTATCACGTTGACGACTCCAACGAGGAGGTTTGGAGATACGAGGCGGTAAACAAGGAATCCCCCCCCCTGGTTTTGTTTCCTTTTCAGCTGTCGACAATAATCAGTGGGGGGGGAAACAGAGCACAAAGAACTGGTTGCAACAACAAAATCGGTGGGCGAACTCCTCTCTCTCTCCTGTAGAATAAATTCGGGGACCCAACACGAGACGAAGAAGCAAGAAGGTGTGCATTAAAAGGACCACCCCTGAAGCAAGCCAGAGCAATTCCAAAGGCAGAGCCTGTTGTGTTCCTTGAATCATTTTGATCTGTATCTTCATCTGGGTACATATCTTTTTTCTCATGGCTTCACTCATCCTCCTTTTGTCCGAGCTGATCCGTGTCCAGAGCACCAACCCTGCTTCCCTCGCGACTTCGCAGCTCTATTCTTCCAGTGCTTCCGCGACGACGGCGTCTTGTGCGGCGGCAGCAGCAGCTGCTTCTAGCCGTTCGATCGGCGCGAAACAGAGCAGCTACGACTCCAGCAGCGAGGATCTGCAGGAACCGAGAGTCTGTGTCGACCTTGCTTGGCCTTAGATTGTGATCAATGTGGTCTGCATCGGTCTTAGTTCGAGAGTCTGAAATCCCGAAGCAATGCTGTCTTTTTGTCTTCGTTCTGTACATTTGCAATCTGTATGGATCTTCTCTCAATACTGTATGAACATCAAGTCCCATAGTGCTGTGCAATTAACCATTTCTAGGAGACCATCCATGACAATTAACATTTTCATCAAGATGCAGTCAAAAAAGGACTTCCAGACTGCAGCAGAGAAAGTATAGCAGACAAAATTCCATCTTCCCCATTGCTGTCCTGGATACAACACAGTCCGATGCGCTTAATCCGTGCGTCGACACAAATTCTCTCATTTTTTGTTGCAAGCCTGTCATTTGTTCTGCTAAGCAAATGCTACTAAGTTTTTAACCCGGACAGAGACTAAAAACGCAGTACTGCGTGCTGAATCGCTAGCCCCAAAAACACAGACCCGCAAAAGTCATGACAATCAAGCAATCAATGATAACTCCAATGTCCTCAATCTTGGGAGTGTCGGTTGCCTTTCTTGTCGTAGTTAAAATATGAAATTAAACGTTTATCTAGCAGCTTAGGTGTTTATTGTTGGTTCGAAATATTTCTCAAATTATTGCACGTTACCAAAGGAGGAGGCCTTGCATTGTATTCTAATCTTTTCGGGGCCTCGTTTGCTTCAATGCCGGCTCTTTGTTTCTTAGAACGGACTGCGGTCTGGTTCATAGCCATGCTAACCAAGCAATTAGATCAAACGACCTCCCCACTCATTGGTTCATTGAAAGGCAAGCTGTCCCTTTATTTTCGCCTCGGGAAATTTTTGTGATTTTCTTTTCTCTTCCTTTCCTAAGTTTTAATGGCCATGGGTGGGTTATTCGGTGCAGCTCAGCCTAATTGATTACACAGCTCCTCAAGGTCAAGGCCTTGAGAAATCTTCGCCGGCATCTTGTCAGTGGCCACATGAGAAACCACAGGGTCACGTGACGTGTTGATACACAGCTACCGACCATAAAGGCCATGAGTGTGAGATCTCGAATGTCTAGAAACTGTCGATCGATTTGATGATCAACATCACTCGATTGAAGTATATTTACGCGGGACCCAATGAAGAAAATCTTATCTGAGATGTCTTCGGTCTTTCTGGCCGGTTTAGCCGATGACCATGGAACTAAACCGCTTGAAGCCAGAGGTTTTGGGCTTAAAACAGAGGGGACTTTCTTGGATTGGTCAACTAGTGGATCGCGAAAACCAACAGCAAAGCCATTTTGATAACCGAAAGCGCCTTCTTCCGTACCCCGCAAGCGTAGGACACGTTAAAGAACCATTCTTATACCGTGGGAAGCACTCGTTTCGCCAAGAACGGCTAAAAAAGCATATTGAAACCAATGGGTTTATTGTCCCTTCACCAGCTCCAAAGATCAAACCACCCAACGCCTATATGTCTATCTACCTCTTGTCTCGAGCTGCCTTCCCAAAAGCTAGGGAAATTCTTGCCTACTCCTTGAATCTTGTGAAACCCATGTGAAATTCCCCAAGGGACGTACAGGATCATCAACAGTTGGTGACCGATTCGGTCCATATATTACTCGGGGCCTATGCAAGAATTTTCCCAAAACCTAATTGAGTTTTAGCCTTCCACGAGCCGTAAGAGACGCCGATACCACATCCTCTGGTCATTCTATTTCGCACTGTACAGCAGCTGAAGCAAATACCAGAGCTGCTCTGCAATTGTCTTAACACATACAGGGAGGCGTGGAAGAGAGTCATGAGAGAGTTGATGGAGAAACGTGACTAAGGATAGCTTCAAAATCGTGCGAGTGATTACGATATGATCTCCGCATGCAAAGGTACGTCTTGGAAGGTAAATCAGGAAGTTTCTGCAAAAGATAATAGAAAACCTCTACTTTTGAATGAACCATCGTGTACTCTCGAGTACCGGAGGTCCATGAGTCCACACTGCAGCACACAACGAACAAATTTCTCTCATCGAAACCGAATGCTCATGCTCATATTATGAATAATTAAGAACGGCGGATGTCGATGATTTTATGGCCATGTCGGCGACCAAACCGGATTTGGTTCTTAATGATTACAGATGAACCAAAACGACTAGAGGGCAAATGTTGATCCCAGCTGATATGGCAAGGGCGTACGTTGTTCGCACAGTAGCTTGCCTGATCGAGTTTTGCTGAGTGCCACACAGCAACTTGACATTTTCTTTCTCCAAAGAGGGAAAGTTAAATGCATCATTAATCAACTGGCATGCACACTGTGTTGTCAAGCGAACCCACAGCTCAGTTGGTTAAATGTGGTTGTGGCGTTAGTCCTCCAACAGAGTGTGGGTTCGAAGAGGAAGTGCTAAATTGGACAGAAACTGAGGACGAGATTGATCGGGAGCACAAGTCCGAAGCATCTGTATTCACCATTTCAGACTACTCATACATTAGTTGACCGCCTCATGCAGAGAAACTCCTCCTAAGAAGCAAAACCTATTTTTGAGGGAGTCGCTAACTTAAGACTCTGGACCGAACAGTAAAATTTAATTCCCTTTAGGTGCCAGAGCTGTAAAACTAGTGCAATGAGATAACTTTGCTCCGACTGGAATTCGGGCTGTCTGAGAATCCAGAGCAACGGTGGAAAGAGTTCACATTATCACGGATTCTCTCGAAACCATGTAATCTTGTCAGGCACAAGAAACGAAAAGCTACAATTAGGACATGCTTTAGTATGCCAATATACCATGAAAGAAATGTTGCAATCAACTTCAATTCGTCAACAGCGAATAGAGCCTCAAGACTTTACCAATTTCCAGTGAAGAAGAAATCTTCAGCTAACCTCCATTGGCGACAGCGAAAAGAGCCCGGCATGATGGTTTTCAATCCACTGTGCATGGCTCGAGTTCAATCGAACTGGAAGCTTTTCCTTCATCCCCCATCTTCAACCACAGACATTGCATTTGGGGCGCAATTTCATTACTTCCTCATCGCAAGCACGCGCAAATCATTCGTCGAATCAGCCCTTCGAAGGGCAAATTTCATCCTCCAAATACTTCACCTCATCCTTCTCATTCTTGTGCACAACATCCCACAAGAAATCAATCAAGACAGTCTCGTAGCATGGCAATTTGGCATACCCAGGGAAATAGTTGATATCAATCACCAAGAATCTGTCCCCATATCTAGCATCTCTGATCACATCAAAGTTGAACAAGTTCAACTTCATAGCCCTCCTCAAACCCCTCGCCAGTTCCCCGATCAAGCTCCGGGGAGGCATCTCCGCTTCCTCCAATCCGGTCGCCTCCCGAGGCCCGTCCCCGCCCTCCTCGCGGATTGCCGAATTCGACACCTGCGAGAACGGCATCAGCCCTTCCGAGCACCCCAACTCCTCCGACGAAACGTCGGGCAGCGACCTGCGCTTCACGCACTGCACGTACTCGCCCACCACGTACACCTTGAACACGACGCCGCCGTGATTCACAAACTCCTGGAGCACGATCGGGGGCTCGAGCTTGCTCAAGCCGCCGCGGTTGAAAACCAGGGACATCTCGTGCGACTGCTCGCTCCCGGCGGCGACCAGAGGCTTCGCGATCATCGGGAACGCCAAACCCTCGCGCGATTGCTCGCTCGACAGCCTCTCCCTATCGCGAACCACTATCTGATCGGGGATCCCAAACGACGACCTGTCGGGACACGCGATCTCGAGTCCGGAAACCACCTGGAGCATAGAGACCCGGTCGTGGAGCCGGCCGATCGCGTCCGGCGGGTCCACGACCGCCGCGCCGGGGTGCCTGGAGCCGAACTCGCGGAGCTGGCGGCACCAGTCCTCGCCGTGGAGCTTGTGGACGAGGCAGTCGAAGGGGCCCTGGTCGGCGAGCGGGCAGCGGAGGTCGACGGCGACGAGGTCGATGCCGCGGGAACGGGCGAGGGCGACGAGGGAGTCCTGGATGAAGCTCTGCTGCTTCTTGGGCAGGAGGGCGTAGCCGACGGTGAATCGCGGCTCGGCCATTCCGGAACGGACGGTCAGGATCGACGGGAGGCGCTCGGAAGGAACGGTATGCGGATGGTGCTAGCGACGAGCTCGGGGTTGCCAGAGAGAGCTTGTCAGCATAAGACGGGAGAGTGGTGAATGATCGGGAGGCAGAGGCACGGCGTATTTATATAGTTTTGGGATAATGACATTAATGGGATAAAGTTTGAGAATCATTTTTTTTTTTTGGTGACCCAGGGAACCCCCGCACGACCGACAGCCGGGAGGTAAACCCTGGGGGTGACACGTGCTAGCCACCACACACGTGCACCGGTTAAGTCACCATGCGGCACTCGGGATTCGAACACTCAATCTTTTGCGAGAGGAAGTGCGCGCTCCAGCAGCGCCACCCAGGCGGGTGGTAAGTTTGAGAATCATTTGTGCCGGTTTTTCTTATAATTTCTGTGCATTTGGTGGACAGTGAGTGATTGAGTGAGAAAAATGGTTCAATAGAAGATTCAAGGTGAGTCCCAATGTACTACGATCCTTCAGATCATGTCAATTTAAGGTATACCTTTGTTATGCTGTCGAAAAGTGCCGACGGGACACCTTTTGAAATGTGGGTGGGTCTTTGCTGATTCTTAGGCACGAAAAGTAATTGAAGAGAAAATTAGGAATATCGAGATAAAAGGTACTAAAATGTAAAGATAAATTGAAAGCAAGATTAAACACCCGGTGTTTATTGATTTTCTTTTGTGTCAAAAACCCCGTGTTCATACCCACCTGCGCATGGCCGAGTTGGTGGGCGATTTTCTTCCCTCTCCAGAGGTTCTGGGTTCGAATCCCCGCTCGGCTCCGTAATTTAAGTGGGGGGCCCTGGCGGTGGGTTGCTGGGCTAGTCTCCACTGAGGTATAAGCGCCCCGATTACCTGTGCGGGCTCGTCCCCGAGAAATGGTGGCGGATCCTCGGTTATAAAAAAAAACAAAAAAAAATCCCGTGTTCATTGATTGATTAGCGGTCCTTTGCACAAATTATAATTCAAGTACTTATACTCACTGCCGATAGTTTACAACGGTTATAAAGAAATTATATGCATCCTACTTCACTCTTACGATTCAGTAATGAGATGACCGCACTACTCGATGGTTGTTTCTTCTCCACTTTCCACGCCCAACATCGTCTGTTACTTTTGAAGTCCCTCATTCCACTACTCAACGGTTCCAAAAGCCACATTTCTCGGCTTCCACCATTGGTGGCTTTCGAGATCCACGGCATCCATGGCCTGATTGCTGTGTTGGTTTCACTTCTTCAAGGTTGTGTCGATCCTCATTTTTATGTATCTTAATTGTTCAATCCGAAATTAGGTTCCGTTACTTAGATAACTACTTTGTATCCAGCTTATCGTAGACCATGATGGTCGTAGCCCTTTGTCAATTAGGGCGAATCTCACTTTTCCAATGACCATGCTCCAAGACTCAGTTATTTTCCTTGATATCTCCTATCGACTAAAATCATGCATCTTGTCAACCAACTGTAATTATCAACTAAAAGTTTTCAAAACTTAGCAAAATTCGCTTTTGCCACGTCTTGCTTGATCTCTCTCCATCTGAGCCAATGGTCAAAGACTTGAGTATTATTTGTGTCGATAATCCTATCTCTCGAATCGCTAAATTTTAGTTAAATCTGCAACCGGATTATTGATTTTTTGTTATAATCGCCAAATACACCAAGCTTTCCATTTACATGGAGTTGGCACACTTTGGTTGGTAAAAGGCCAATTTTCCCGACGATCTGTCAACACGACGGATACATGTCCTGTTTTCAAATTCCAAGTCCACGAAACATCCAGACAATCTCGAGGACTCGATAAGACGGGAACCTAAATCAGATCTGAGTGGTTCGATAAAAAAGAGTGCTCTCGGTGGCTTAAGCAATCGGACCTGTAATGCCTGATCCAAACATAAGGGCTCTTTCTTTCTTAATCTTTTTACGTTCTTCATGTTAAAACGAGGAGAATTGTCCAAAACGTCATAAACCTATTGCACTTTTGCCAATTCAGTCATAAACCTTTTAATTGAGCCAATTGAGTCCTAAACCTTTTTCACGAGTACAATAAATTTAAGATTTTTTGGATAAATTTTCCCCGTTTATAGAATTGATGGATGGTATACATTGGTGGTGGGTTCCTCACGACAAAGGGATTCGCAGCATGGACATGGGCACTTCACTTGGCATCCCGTACCTTTACCATCCTCTCCAAAAAGGACTCTTGCAGGATGCTGATGTTGATGCTGATGCTCTTCTTGTCTTATGTGGAATGAATTCAATCCCCCACCATCCCTTTTTTCTCTTTCGAGAGAATAATTTTGCATAGTTGCTTGCAGCTGTCAGTAAGATGGTGGACGATTATTATTAAAGAAACAATCATAAAAGGAATTAGGCGATGGAGGGTCAGAAGTTGTTATAGCAGAAGTTTCTTACCAAAGTGGGTTGGTGGGGGCTCTACGATTCTAGATGGATGGGTACGAATAGGAAGTTAAAAGATGGACCATTCCATTTGGTTTCTCATGTTCATCTTAGAATGTAGCTTATGTTAGATGAGAAAAGTATCGTGTGTTTCTTTAGTCCAAAGACGTAGCAGTTTGTTTGGTCGACCCCGGTTTTTTTGTGTAAAAGAAAGTTTTGCATATGTTGGATGCATTGGCACGCGCCGTTTCGCACTTGAAAAGCCGCTAGGAACGCATATCGCATACTTAAGGCAACGTGATTTGAGTAATTTATAAGAATCATGCACACGAGAAAGTCTCAATTTTAAATACCATTCTATGTACTTGAAGTAGTATTCAATCTCGAATCTTACAGAAAAATTGCATGAAAACCCATAAATACAATGTAATAGCAAGAAGATTATTATACAATAGACAGATTGTAGGGGTGATCGGTTCCCGATCCTAGACCGAGAGGACCGGTTCCCAATTTTGAGAACCGGGGACCGGACTGATGGTCCAGTCTTGTCCAATAAAACTGGTCACTTTTTTTTATTTTTTTCCCACCACAACGAGAGAAAATGACAAATCTCAACATATTGAAGATAAGTAAAGAGTCATTGTGGTGCGACAATAAGGAAAAAGTTGTCGTACGTGAGTTTAGTTCACATTTAACTAATTTTTTTGAAGAAATAAAAAATAAAAATATATATATGTAGTCGGTCCGGTCCGGTCCGGTCCGGTCCGGTTCCCCCTTGGAACCAGGAACCGGACCGACACTCTCAGGAACCGGACCAATCCGGACTATCTGTTTTGTACACCCGAAATAGATTGCAACATCAAGCTATCAAAAAAGACACAACCACTATGATACTCAAGTTATGTACGAATGCCAATTATATCCTAAACTTGCAATCTTGTCAAATTCAATTCTAAAACTTTACACGAAATTTCAATATAGTCAATTCCGGCCAATTTTCTCCGGGAATCGCCGATGTGGCGGAACCACCAATGCCAAATTGCTTGTTGGCAAAAGTTCGTGATATCCAATCTTAAATTCAATGTTTTGCCCGACTCAGGCCCTCATGGGCTGTCCCAGATCATCGGATATATTTGGGCCAGCGCTTGGCAATATTATTTCGCTTTGTCAGAAAATCAATGCTCGGCCCATTTGCTTTAGCGGGGATAACACCATGGCATGAGCAGAGTCACTATGGTATGGTGCTTCTTTGAGAAATGAAGTTAATCTTCATACAAACTTTGCATCTACAAGTCATCGATAGATGATGCCATAAACCGATCAATACTTAGATATTCATAAAAAAAAAAAATTCGTATATACAAGTGGTTTTTCTTCATGTAATTACTTTCTTTCTCCGTGCAACGAACATTTGAGGTCTCTTATTTTTAGCTTTCATCTAGTCCATAAATCATCGATGCGATCGTTTTCGTGATATAAAATGTTCTTCCCTTCATTCTTATTTGATATTAGTGCACAAATTAGGTTGGCTTGGACTTTCGTTCGATTTGATTCAACTTTGCAAATGAGCTTTGAGATTTTAAAGGTTTTGGATAAATGCAAGTGGTGTGTGGCGATTTTTTTTTAAAAGTTTTTGGAAGATGTGATTGCAATTACGAAACCCTCTAAAGTCTTTTAGCTCAGGTCCCTACCTTGGGCTTTTAGCATTTGCGATAAGCCAACTGATTTTATTCTTCCCATTTTGCCCTCATTAAATTAACTAAATTCCAATTCTACCCTTCCCTCACACACCAATCTCTATCTTCTCCCCCTCTCTCCAGCCAAATCTGACCGCCAGGGAGGGCGACCGAGGCTGCATGACCTCAATAAGAGTTCGCTACGGCCACCCGACCCTCGCCTGGGATCACCCGAGCCCTTTGCCTGCGTCTGGCGAAGGATTTGAGTTCAGTTTTTAAAAAAAATATATAGCAAAAGTCCTTTATAGGTGTAATTTTTTCCAAACAATATTTATACCAAAGTTCCTTTCCGATGCACTTTTAAATTACAGTTTACCAAAATTTCGAAAAATCCCTGTAACCAAAAGTCCGTTACATTTGCTCAAAGACTTTCCCCAAAAATCGAGCCAAACGCGGCTTTTGTTTTCCGAGAGTAAGAACAATACTTGTATCATCTCTTGTACACGGGCCAAATAGATTCCGACCGTTGGATCACGCGAGACTCACACGGAAACCATCGAACCGAGCAGCGCAGAGCAACTGGGCTCACATGCACCGGAATCAACTACTAAATTTTTCCAAGAACGGGGACAAACAAAGACGGATGCAATGGATTTTTATTTTATTTTTTATTTTTTGTATTTCGGATGCGATGATTAGACAATAGAGGAAGCTCGACAAATGCAATCGGATTGGTTGAGCGAGTGGGACACAAATGTGGGGAGCACGCACCCTTGTCTTGTCCCCCCTCCCACCGATACCCCCCATCACGTGCCGCTCACGGCCTGCGCCGTCCCAATACCACGTGATAGCTACTCACTTTGGGCCCGTTTGGCCTTTGGTTCAACTCTGCGCGGTCCCGACCGCGAGTGGTCCCCGGCGAGGGTCGCGCGACCCAGGCGACTGTCGCCTGGGGTCGCGCAAGTCCGAGCGACAGCGCCTGGGTCGCGCGACCTCAGGCCTCGTTGCCTGAGGTCAGGCGACCTTGCCAACCCCTCGCCAGCCCTTCGCCATTCAGATCCGGTGTCGTTGGTCGCCCTCGCCGGCCACGCTTTCGTAAAGAAGATGAACAGTAACAAGGGGGCAAAATCAGTATATTAAAGTTTGAACGAGGTTAGTTAGGGAAGGGGAAAAAAAAATTTCAGCATTCCAAATGCTAGCATTTAGTTAATGCTAGGCCGAAAATTGAACCAAACGGTTCAGTATTTTAGAAAAGGGCTTTCAATCTCGAAAGCCCCTTCCTAAAGTTGAACCAAACGGGGCCTTTGTACGTCAACGATGGAGATGGAGGGGATGGAGTTCATGGTGATTTTTTGCAACATCATGGTCTCAATTAAGGACCAAATACTCACCGAAGTACATGATTACTTAACCTAATCTAATGAATTGCAAACGCACACAAGGTAGCCCACGAAACTGGTTCAAATTCGAAGGACGATTAACTTATTTCGCGTTCAACTTTCATAAAGTTTGGGATTTTTTTGTTCTAGTTTGATCGATTGCAATATGCTGAAGTTAACGGGATCGTGTTTGATTTCAACATATTTTTCGTGGCAACGGAAATTAGGGTCGTCCTTATTAGTCTAATTAGTGGCCTTTCGGAAACCGTTTAGAAATATATATATATATATATTCGCAAATATTTGATTCGTATGTCGGACGCTACCATGTTTAGGATTCACGCGTTCATGACCGATGCGGCGTATTCTGTTTAGACACGAACATTTCACCTCGTCAAATAATTAATGGTCTTTTCTTATGGGTGTTTCGAAAGCATTGGATTCAATGTATTTCATGCAAAACACATGAAGGATTGAATTTGAAAAGTTGCACACCAAAAAAAGCAAAAAAAAAAAAACAGAAGAGTTAAAAAGGCAAGGAGTATTTCTACACCGAATATACGCCCATCGATACATCCAACAAAAGGACATTCTTTTCCTTAATTCCGATATTCTCTCTCTCTCTCTCTATTGGGTCTGTCTGTCTGCAGAGGAAGTGTCCCATAAAAAAACAGGGAGCGCTCTCTCTCTCTCTCTCTCTCTCTTGGAGAATCAGGGACAATTTGAAGAGAGAAAGTGGGAGAATTTGTCAGGGAAAGAGGAGGGTGGGGGAGAGAGAGAGAGAGAGAGAGATGGCCAAGAATGGGGAAGCGCGATGGAGCTTCCCGTTGAGCTTCTGGGAGGTGGCGGCGGCTTCGACGGTGGTGGTGGGCTTCGTTCTTGGCCTCCTGGGCGTGTACCTGACAATGCCCGCATCCGACTACAGCTTCCTCAAGCTCCCTCGCACCCTCCAAGATCTTCAGATCCTTCGGTCATTCTCTTCCTAATGCTTCTACCATGTGCCATTTCTTGCTTTGAGCTGGTTTTGTATGGAAAAGAGTTTGAAGTTTTGAATACGTGAATCCGATTCGGTCGATCCGGGTTGAGTGAGTTTCGTTGCGGAAGTTTCGCATTTGATGATTTATGTTGCTGGAGAGCTTCGTGTGCAATGATGGACAGTCACTGATGCAATGCCCTCCAATTTTGTTGCGATCTTTTTTCTGGCCCTTGCCCGCTTATGCTAGACGCACCATCCTTGTGTTGCTGGGTTTGTCATCAAATCTGAGTGTTCATTCTTTCGGATGATTAATGGGCGAAGCTTTTTTACTCTTGACCTGGTCGGGTCACTAGTTGTTGAAGATGGTGAAATGATGAAGACGACTCCCAACTATCGTCTTGCCCTTATGGTTTCAGAAGAAAGTTTCCATCATAATAAGATGTGTTTTGTTGGGAATGTGTGGAGTGTTGTGTGATGTAACTTGAGAATGGCTGTCAATTCCATTTGGTTCCACCATGATTAGAGATTGGTAGCTGTGAGCTTGACTTGATGAGCCCACTGTATATTTGGGCATTCTAAATTGCTGACCAAGTCAATGCCATATCTGTATCCTTGTGACCTTGCTGTGTGATACTTCCGATGAAGCTCCAAGTTAACACTTTGATGACAATTGATATCAGTTCATTTGCTGTCGGTCGTTGTTCATTGCACACTTAACATTATGATGTTATATTTGGGTATAATGACCACTTTGAATAACCAAATTAAGAGGCTGCAATTTTGTATTTTGAATGCTCCAATTTGGGGAATTGTTGTGTTTTTTTTTATTTTTGATTTTTGGATGTTTGATTATGCAGAGACCATCTTGAGGGCTACACAAGCGACTACACCCTGCAAGTCCTGGTTGGTTACTCGATGGTGTACATATTCATGCAGACTTTCATGATCCCGGGAACTGTTTTCATGTCGCTGCTCGCAGGAGCACTTTTTGGAATGCTTAAAGGCATGGCCCTGGTTGTGTTCACCGCCACTGCCGGCGCTTCGTCGTGCTATTTCCTATCGAAGATGATAGGACGGCCCATTGTCTTCTCTCTTTGGCCCGATAAGCTGAAGTTCTTCCAAGCTCAGGTGCATATCTAAAATCCAAGTAGCATCAGTGCAGATGAATGAATTGAAAGGGCATGCTTTCTTTGTATCTTCAGGTGGCTAAAAGAAGAGAACGGCTGTTGAACTACATGCTCTTCCTTAGGGTGACTCCGACCTTGCCTAACACGTTCATTAACTTCGCTTCCCCGATAGTCGACGTGCCATACCACACCTTCTTCCTTGCTACTGTCATTGGACTCATCCCGGCAGCTTATGTCACTGTCAGGGTAATCCTTCGACTTTTAAGTTGCTATGATTAAACACTTGTTCCTTTTTCTCAAGAGAAAATTGATTGTTGTTCGAGTCAATTAGTGGATGTGAGCACAATTGGCTCATCGTTGATCATGTGACATTTTGTTTCATGCAGGCTGGACTAGCTCTGGGAGAGTTGCAGTCTATTGGAGATCTTTACGACTTCCATTCCATCGCCACTCTGTTTTTCATCGGGATCATCTCGGTTACTCCAACACTTATGGGCAAGAGGGGCTCATAATGCCTAGATTATTAACTCGCTGGTCCTGCATTGTGTCCATGCGAACCCCTTTCCTCGGGTCACCCTTCAGTATCATGTCCACCTCTATATAGATAAGCAACAAATAGTCCTAAACGCGAAGTGCTCTCTATACTCTGAGCAAATTTCGTCAGCACCAAGGAGATCGATCCTGCATGGGATAACTTGGAAAAAGCGTCGGTTACCAGCCTTTGATCTCAACCCTGGCCTGATCAAACAGGAATTGTTATCTTGATATCAGGTAGACCGTGAAGGAGGGGTCTCCTTTTTTTAGTGTCGGTTCCTTATACGCCTGATTTATGTTGTCCCATTAGCAAGAAGGGAAAATGAAAAGAAAAGGAATTTCCCTGTATATCATTGTTATAACTATCAAGTAGAATATGTCACTGCAGTAGAGGCATCTATGTATTACACTCAGATACCCTTTTAAGAATTATCATCTCAATTCGGCTTGACCTATGCATTGTCGAGAATTACCCATCTCTTTGTCCTCGATGAGGTCCCATCGTCGTCCGGAGGTGCAATTTTGAGAGTTAACTTAAAGAAGCCTGTACCTTTACATCAAATTGACAATCGTCAGAATTTCAGGGCCAACTCTGTGTTGTTTTAGTAATCTAACTTTTCTTCATTGAAGAAGAGATTCATTTCATGACTCGAGATAAGATAATGAAATAGTTATCATGGGTCGGCTGTGATATTGACATGGCCGTGCCATTTTTTACGCCTTTGCAAACTTTTCTCCAGGAAGCAACATGAAGTTATCCAGATTTTGCAATGCTCAGCAATCATTTGTTAATTGATTTATTGTCCGGAGAGTATTTAGTTAGATACTTTTCCTCAAATCTAAACACCGGAAAATGACCATTTAGCTTGGAAAAATTGTTAAGGACAAAATAAAGATGGATAAGTGCTTGCCGGCCTCTCGAATTGAGAGGATTTAGCATATACTATTAGGCACCAGAAGCTGACATTCAAGCCAAGACAATGATTTTGTGCCAATCTTTCTGAGTTTTCTTGCCTCCATGCCACATGCACTACTTCTTGCACCTCAAATCTTCTGATTGGTCAATAATAAATATTTAATCACACCTAATGCCACTATTCAACAAGTTGACTGGAATCCACCAAACTAGTATCTAGTATTAACCACAGGGCAGAGCAACGCAAAGCTTACCATATAACAGAGGGGAGAAGACAGGAGAAGTGCAAGATAGGCAGGGGTAAGTATATTCATCATTTGCTGGGAGAGAAAAGTGTCCCAAAAACTAGACCTATATCTTTCATTCCGACGTGAATTTAACTTGCTGTACAAGTTTACTTCCGTGAATGCTGTTCGCTTCTCATCTCTCTACTTTTAGACATATGATATCGAGAAAAGCTATGTACTAATTGGCTCGCATATTATGATATCGTTATGGTGTTAGAAACAAATACTTGGTTGGACGATGGGGAGCGATGAGCACCCGAGGATCAAAGCCTCGGGAAGTTTGTGAGAGCAAAAGTAATGTTGTTTGGGCATGACACTCTTTTTCTTCGGATACCTCTTTCTTAAGACCCTATTCTTAAAGCCATAGCTGTTTACCAGAGAGAGAGAGAGAGAGAGAGAGAGTGGGGCAGCTATACAAAGTATATGAAGTATTAAAACCTGCTATCAATCCTCAAACCCGAGCTGGCCAAATGAAAGGGCCTTTCTTGCTTCCTGAGATTTGACATGGAACCTTGCCACGTTGAAAGGGGCTACTAACCTGATACTTGCAGTAACCTTAACAGCTTGCCCACTCAACTGCAACATAAGGACAGCTTAACATTCATGCTGGCAATGTAAAATCTCTCTCGTCCGATTCTATCTTATCACACCTCTGTTGCTGTGATGGTCTATGTTTATAAGTAAAGATCTAGCCCATTTTTAAAGCCAAATCTCTTCTGACCTACTTAGTTTTGGTTGGGTTGTGAGAATCACTATATCAACATCTGGTATGTGGTATGATTTTCATGTATATCTGTTGCACAAACAGATAATTAAGCTAGATATCTGAAGAATTCTCGAGCTGGATAAGTGCTTTCTCTTGTTCTGAACACTGAGCTTGCTTTCATCATTATATGTCAGATATGGAGGTCACTGAAGATATAAAAGTTGCTGTCCGTCAAGATCGGCCTAAAGTCGTTCCACATGTTGAAGATGAGCACTCACTAGAGCACTTGAAAGACAAAGATCTTCAAATTGAAACCGAGAAAGAAATTATAGAGGAGTACCAGGCACAGGACGCTCGTAATGCCGGAGAAAGTCGAAAGGATCCAGTGAAGAAACCAAAAGAAGCTGCAAAACAAAAGGCAAGAGTCACTGTTCCTCAACCATTCTCTTTGGCAACTGAGAGGAGAATGTCACGAGAAAGGCAAGCATCGATTGATTTTTCATCTTCCGCTGAGAAAAGGACACCAAGAGAAAGACGAGGCTCAGTCGATCTTAACAACATGCAGCCAAAACTATCCAAATCAAGAAGTCTAAACAAGTAAGGTCCCCTTGTATCACCATTAAGTCTAGCTTTCATGTGCTATTAAACTCTCATGCCTGTTAAGAAGATCTCAAAGTCAATAAAGATTTTCATTTGAAGATTTACAATATAGTGGGGTGAACCATGGGTTACCGTGGCATAGGATAAAGGAGAAATACAATAAAATGCTTCTAGGAATTCAAGTTGGTAATTTCTTGAAGTTAAATGATGCCTCAAAGAATTAGATTTCTAACTTTACGATGTGTACTTTCTTGTTAATACAAACTGGTATCAATCTAAAAGTAATGGACCTTGGTACTTACATGCTCAGTCGTCGAGTGACATTTGATTCTTCAGGCCGCACTTCTCTGGGGGTGCCAGAGAAACACACAAGCCGGGGCATGAAAGCTCAGCTGCTGCTGCCACCGCTAAAAGAACTGTCACGTCCAAAGTTTCGGGCCGCCAAGAGGGTGACAACAAAGAAGAGGTGAGTTAGATGCATTTGCTGGAAACTACAGCAACGCCGATCAGGTTACTGCACTCGTTCGGGAGAAAAATTAACGAACAAGAATAGGAAGAAAGAAAAAATAGGCGATCATGATAAGGAATCTGTCACTGCATCCTCTTTTCTTCTTTCTGGTCATGACACTTTTGCATGAGAATCAACGGCGTTCTTAGCGTGCGGAATTGCTGAGAGAAAATATCGTTGTCCCGGTCTCTTGTGATAACTGTTGAGGTCAACACAGATACCTATTGCAACTTTAAGGCTTTGGTCCTCGAGGTGTCTCGATTTGGCCTTTGTACCGTCCAATTATCACTTAATTGAAGTGCTGTGATGATATCAAGCATCACAAGATTGCTAGTTTTGTGTATTGTATGCCAGATTGGAGTTAAGAATCAGAGTAAAACGAAGGCGATCAAGGAGATAAAGAGCAACTCACAAGCGCCTATGAAGGTACTCAGTCAACCTGTATATGGTTAGCCTCTGAATACGATTTAAGTTGACTCATCAACTTCACCTCGATCTCATAATTCAGCGGCAGGAGCAGAAAGGAGAAACGGCAGAGACTCGCAAACTCGGAAAGAGCTCGACATTCAAAGCATTGCCCCTACCAAGTTTCTACCACAAGAACGACCCCGCGGCAAAACCCAGTACAAAGAAGGTAAATCTCTTGACATATACCGTAGTCCTTTCACATGATTCGGAGTTTCGTGGATGTGGACCTCATGAACAAGAATCCCGAGCAATTTCGTCAAGCTAACGATATCCTCGATTGAGAAGTCGAATTGCATGCGCATTTCAATCTTATTGACAAAGATGGTACTATCTCGGAGTGAGTTCATTTTGTTTTGGATTATGTTTATGTCAAAGATCACACGCTTGAGTTGAAGTCTGCATTTTGTGCTCTTACCAGGTTTCATCTCCCAGTCTCAAGTCCCCTCCGCTTGGCCAGAGGAGCAAGCATTCGAACTCGGCCTCTGATGGCCAGAAGAAGACCGTAACCAACGGCGCGAAACAGACCATAAGCAAGCTGCTGAAGAGCACCCACAAGGCTCTGAATCCTTCCAAGGAGACGGTAAAGAGTGTCGTTGTGGCCGCATGAGCGCGCGTTCATGCATTTTCCTCCTTTGTGCTTATGTCCCTCGAATTCGGTTTTCGTCGATTATGCATATGAAGTGGATTTGTCCGTGTCATTTGCTCTCGCGTGAGTCGTAGAAACCAACAATGAATCCTTGCCATTCCGGTTGGCGGAGTTTGTTCCGAGGTTTGTATTCAGCTTCATGGTTGAGACAAATAGAAGTTGTCCTTTGTCCACCGATCCATCTTATCTTACCTGATATCAACACAAGTTCAATGCGTTTCCATGAGCATAACTTTGGACGAACCCGGCAATGTATGGACATTTTGCAGTATCTAAGATCATCTTCATTGTAATGAACCGAACGATATTGCAGTAAACAGACACAAGTTGGCTTCCCAGATGGAAAACCTCCAAAACAATCATCTCCACTTCTATTGACATGTCGGTTCGCAACGCCCTGGCTGCGCCGAAGTTGTCCATTCCCTCTCCTGTTTGTTGCTGTTGCTCTGTGATCTTCAATTTTTGCGCCGAGGCATCACTGTAACGAGCATGAAATTCCAACCTCTGTTGTTACATTGGAACCATCATGGGCCCGCGACGGCTTGAAGTTGACGATCAAACCGTTTCTTCATCCTCTTCCCCTGCTTCCCACAGAAAGTGCGCGTACGCCCCCAACACCGTGCTGCATTCACATGAACACCCGCATTCGATCAAATATCCATCGCCTTTCGGATCAGCTCGGAGAATTTCGGACGATAGCGACCGAAGGAACGAACAGGGTGGAACTTACCAGTCGTCAGGAGATGCATGCACCGCTCGATCGAAGTACAGTCCGGCCCTATCTTCGTCTCTCTCCGCCTCCCAAATCAACCTCCCGTACAGCGACAGAACCTCGCCGTCGCTGGGACTCGCCAGTATCGCCCTCGCGTAGTACTCCGCAGCTCCCTCCGCATCTCCCTCCACCTACAATCGCGCGCCAAGTTTAAAACGATCGCGACGATCACATCACCGAGCTCAAACCAAAATCAGCGAGTTCAAGTTTACGCGGTTCTTCTCTCCGCATTTACCTTGTGCAGATACTCGGCGTAATTCCTCAGCAGGAGCGAGCAGTCGGGGCTCGACCCCAACATCTGGCGGTAGTGATCGCCGATCTCGCTGCTTCTCGCGCACCCGCCGGCGGCGGCGTGCCGGGATCGGGAGCCGCCCGGAGCGCTCCGCCGTGCGATCGCGTCGTCCGATCCTCTCGAGCTCGAGCAGCCCCCGTCTCCTCTCCGGCGACGGAGAGGAACTCCGGCGGCGATCCGAGAGCAGGAGAACACGGAGGTACCGGAGAGAATGGAGCGATGGTTAGGAACTGAGTTGACTCGGAACAAAGAAGCTTCCATGGCGGTCTGGCTATCGCTGGCTCTTCTTCTTCTCTCGCGCACCGTGAATGAGTTGGGGTGAGCTGAACTCGGCCATTTATATAGAGAGGCGCTCGAGTTTGACGAGTTCTTTCTTTTTAATTTTTTCTTTCACCATTTTTTTTCCCCAAATACAAATTTATTTGGGCTTCAACACGATGGATTTAATAATTCATATAATTTATTTATTAATATACAATGAAGCCAAATCGTTTGCATGCGATAATTTCTAGCATTTTTTTTATTTAATATCGCGCCTTCTTTTTTTTTTCTCATTTTTTGCTTTGCCAAAAAAGATTCCTACAAAAGCAGGTCAAATTTCAATGGGGCTATTTTTATTTTTGGACGAAATTTTTTTTTTTTTTTTGGGACTAAGGTCGAAAAAACCATGTTCGGAAAAATTTTGGGTCGAAAAATTCAATGGGCCTTAAACAAGGGGCTCTTTTCACCCTCTCCCGATAACTAAAAAAAAATGAAAAATTAGAAAAACCATGTTCGGAAACCAAAGCTGGGTTAGAAAACCTGGTTCGGGGAACCCAAAAGAAGAAGTCTGAAAAGGACATTTAACTCAAAAGCCCAGCTAAAAGTAAATACTTATAATTTTATGTTAATATCACAAAAAAATCCTAAATTAAGTTCACCACGGCACCGGTACTTCAGACTTTTTATCATATCACCAAGGATCCTAAATTATGCCCACCACCATGACATCAATACTTTATGGATTCATTTATGTCGCCAGAACCCCCAAACTTGTACCGATTATTTGAGAATTAGTAACATGAAAAAAAAAAATTGGGGTACCGGTGTTGTTGTGGGCAAAGTTTAGGATTTCGTCGTGATAGATAAAGGATATTTCGTTACACCGATATAGATTGGGAGATTTTGATGACACAGAAAAAAAATTAAGTTAATAACATTACAATGGACATATGTTAGGGTTTCATCTTCTTTCTTTGTCTTTCCACAAGACCAGACTCAGTTTCCCTGGCCATTGTTATGAAGTTTCCGTCCTCAATCATGGGAAACGAGCAACTTGTGTGCAAATTGAACAATCGACAGTGGCATCTCGTTCTATGTTAGAAAGCAATTGATTTGTCCAATATGTCTATGGATTTGGTTACTACGAGGTGAAACTTATGGATCGCAACGTCGCGCTTCTCAGAGACTTTAGTTTCGATTTTTATTTTAATCGAGCCTTGAAGTGCAAATGAAAAACAAAATTATCCGATTCTTTTATGGGAAGGAAATTAGAAAAAACAAAAGGCTCCATTTTTTTCCCGAGACAAAAGTGGATTATAAAACGAAGGATTTGGGGGGCCGAAAAATCGAAAAAGATGTTTAACTCAGAAGCCCAACTAAATATATATTATTTTAAGTTAATACCACCAAAAACCCTAAACTATATCCATTGTAACATTAATATCTTAAACTTTTGATTGTATCACCATAAATCCTAATTATGTTAACCGTGACATCAATACTCTAATTTTTTTAGTGTCACCAAAACTCCCAAACGTGTACCAGCGTGACAAAAAAATTCTAAACTTGTCACATTGGATCAATTTTGCGATATCAATGACACGTAAAAATAAAATTTGGGGGATTTCTCATTAATTGTGGGCAATTAGGATTTTTTGTGGTAGACGACAAAGGGTTTTTTTTATCACACTAATGTAAATTTGGAGATTTTCGTGACACAAAAATCATTTAAGTATTAGTGTTGCGGCAGTCGGCAGGCATAATTTAAACTTTTTTATAGTATTTTTTCTATATATATATAATCTGAGTTTGGACGGATTTTGTGTTCCTAGGTTGTATTGAGCAACTTGGACCTAACATGGGCTATCTTCATTTGTGGCCTAGAAGTGAAACGATGCCTTGGGGAATACTGCCAAATTGACTTATTCTCGATTCATCCTCTTTCTCTCTGTCGGCAAGACCAGATTCAGCTTCCCTGACCCGTTGTTCTCAAGCTCCAGTCCTCAATCATTGGGAAATGAACAAACTTGTGTGCAAATTGAACGATCGATGGTGGCATACCGTTTCTTTCTTAGAAAGCTATTGGTTTGTCCGCATGTCTAGGGAAACCTTGAGGACACTGACATCTGATATAAAAGATCCCTGAACTTTAGCATAACGTGCAATATGATTTTTGAACTTTAGCTCAATATACAATGTCGTCCACAAACTTTAAATTTGTTCAATGTAATTCCTGAATTTTTTGTATATGTTCAATTTTTTTTTTTTTTTTTGTAACCCGGAACCCCGCACGTAGGCCGACAATGGGAGTAACCCCGGGGCGACACGTGCTAGCCACCACACACGTGCCACCTAGTGCTCAAGTCACCCTGCGGGTGTCCGGGATTCGAACACTCAACCTTTTGCGAGAGGAAGAGTGCGCGCTCCAGCAACGCTACCCAGGCGGGTGGTTGTATATGTTCAATTTAATCCATAAATTATATGAAAATGTTCAAAAATTATCCCTTCGGCAATTCAAATTTAAGGACAACATTGAACATTTTCATATGGTTCAAGGACTAGATTGAACATAAATCAAAAGTTTAGGGACCACATTGGACAAATTAAAAGTTTAGGGACTACATTATACATTGGAATAAAGTTTAAGGGTACATTAAATAAATTAAAAGTTCATGGACCATATTTCCAAATTTCATGGACCGTTTGTGTCATTATCACGAAATCTTTTGGTAATTGCGAGGCGAAACTTGTATACCATGAACATCACGTTTTCTGAGAGATTTTAGTTTCGAGGCTTGCTTCGATCGGGCCTTGAAACTCGAGTTATTGCTGCAAGCGGTGGTTGTGTCGAAGTGCGAGTTTTGAATGGTGAAAAAAATTGTTGGATCTCTCTATGGGAGGGAAATTTGGGGAAAATCGAATTGTGAAGAGTGTTGGAGCGAAGAAAGAAGAGTTATGAGGAGATGAAACTATGAGTAGGCCTTTCGTGGGCAAGTGATGTGGAAATAGAAGGGGATGAAGAGGAAGAAAAAGACACAGGAAAAACCGGTTTTCAACCAATAAAATGTTACGTGCTGAAAAGAAAAGGAAAACTTCTATTTTCATCCCTATACTTTCATACTTTTTCTGATCCAGTGCTTATACTTTTAATTTGCTTAATCATGTCCTTCTATTTTCAAATATTCTTTAATCAACTCCTTTAGATAGCAAATCCGACTAAATTCAACTGACGTGGTAAGTGGAGACACCAAAGTATGATGCAAATTAAATAGGGAAAAAACCACCAAAAACCCCAAACTTTGCCCTCTGTGACACATTTACCCCAAACTTTTTTTGTGATACCAAAACCCCAAACTTTGTTATTTGTGACACATTTACCCCAATATCTTGTAGCCTAGGGTATTTTAGTCTTTTCCCTTTTTCTATTTTTTTTTTTTTTTTTTTTTTTTTTTTAAAAGCAAAAGCGCCCTCGCCGCGAGGTCTTCAGGCGAACTCGCCGGTGCGAGCGAGGGCCCTCGCCGGCGTTGGGTGAGCGGCTCTCGCCTCGCCGGCGTCGGGCGAGGACCTCGCGCCGCCCGGGCGAGGCGCCCTCGCCGGCGTTGGGCGAGGCGGCCCGGCCTCGCCTCGCCGCGGCGTCGGGCGAGGACCCTCGCCCGCCCGGGCGAGGTGAAGGCGCCCTCGCTTTGGGCGGGGCGAGGCTGCCGCCGGCGTCGGGCGGCCTCGGCAGCGTCGGGCGAGGTCGCCACCGCCCGGGCGACGAGGCGGCCACTCGCCGACAGCGGCGAGGGGCGAGGGCGTCGGCGAGGGCGCCCTCGCTCGCCCGAGGCGAGGGCGACCCTCGCCGGCGCCGGCGAGGGCCGCCTCGCCGGATCCGGTGAGGGGGCCTCGCCGGTCCGGCGTGAGGTCGCCCTCGCCGGATCTCGCGGGGCCGCCTCGCCCTGGGCGGGGCGAGGGAAGCCTCGCCCGACGCAGCGGCGGGCCTCGCCCCGCCCGTGCGAGGGCGCCTTCACCTCGCCCGGGCGGGGCGAGGGTCCCTCGCCCGACTCCGGCGAGGCTAGGTCGCCCTCGCCCAACGCCGGCGAGGGCGCCTCGCCTAGGCGGGGCGAGGGTCCCTTCGCCCGACGCCGGCGAGGTGAGGGCTGCCCTCGCCTCAACGCCGGCGAGGGTCGCCCTTGTCCAACGCCGGCGAGGCGGCCCTCGCTCGGGCGGGGCGAGGCGCCGCTGCCGCGCGCCGGCGAGGTCGCCGGAGACTCCGCCTGGCGAGGGCAACTTTGCCTATTAATAAAGAAAAAAAAACAGAAAAAAATAGAAAAAAGGGAAAAAGACTAAAATACCCTAGGCTACAGTATATTGAGGTAAATGTGTCACAAATAGCAAAGTTTGGGGTTTTTGGTGTCACAAAAAAAAGTTTGGGGTAAATGTGTCACAGATGGCAAAGTTTGAGATTTTTGGTGGTTTTTTCCCAATTAAATATACGGATGTCCATGTGGACGTGTGTAGAAAATTTTAGCTAGTGTACACGACGTCTAAGTATGACGTGAGTAGAACTTGGCCAGTATGGACTCATAAGGTTGCGTTTGGTTCAACTTTCCAATGAGCTTTGGGGAATAAATAGATGTCCATTTTGAAAAAAAATTTATCCACATTGTATTATTACGTTGTCCAACAACTATATCAGCTGCATCTGGTTGGATCTGGTGTAAGACGAACTTGATTAAAAAAAATTGTAAATAAAATGACTTAGTTAGACAAGTTTAAAATACATGGACTTTGCTTTAAAAAAAAGTGAAAATATAGGAATGAAAGAAAGTTTCAAATGTAGCAAGCAATAGTGTAGTATGGATTTTCCTTTTCACCAATCCTATCCCTCGTGTGAGAAAACTAATATAAAAATGGGTTAATACCACGAAAAATCTTAAACTGGTACACTTATGACACATTTACCCCAAACTATTTTTTTGACCATAAAAAACCTCAAATTGGTACACCCGTGACAATTTTACCCGAAACTATTTTTTTGACCATCAAAAATCCCAAATCACACTCGTGACAATTTTACCCGAACTTACCACAAAAACCCCAAACCGTACATACGTGATAATTTTACCCCGAATTAAAATTTTAATATTATTTTTTATTTTTTTCGAATTTTTATTTATTTTTTATTCTTTTCTTTTCTTTTTTTTTTCATCTTCAAACCCTGGCCGGTCGCCGGTCCGGCAACCGGCTAGAGGCGGAAGCCGGCGAGGGCGGCCCTCGCCGGCGTCGGGCGAGCGACCCTCGCTGCGTCGGGCGACCCTCGCTGCGTCGGGCGAGCCGCCCTCACCGGCGTCGGGCGACCCTCGCTGCGTCGGGCGAGGCCGCCCTCGCCGGCGTCGGGCAAGGGCCATCCTCGCCCGCCCGGGGCAAGGGCGACCCTCGCTCGGCTCGGGCGAGGCCGCCCTCGCCGGCGTCGGCGGCCGTCCTCGCCGCCCGGGGCAAGGCGACCCTCGCCCGGCTCGGGCGAGGGGGCCTCGCCCAACGCGAGCGAGGGTCGCCTCGCGTCGGGCGAGGGCCGCCGCCGGCGTCGGGCGGCGACCGCCTGCGAGATATCGGGCGAGGGCGCCCTCGCCGGACTCCGCGAGGGCCGCCTTCGTCGGCGTTGGCGGCCCTCGCCGACGCCGGCGAGGTCGACCCTCGCTGCGGGCGAGGCCGCCCTCGCCCGAGCTCGGGAGGGTCGCCTTGCCCCCGGGCGTGCGAGGACGGCTCTTGCCCGACGCAGGGAGGGTCGTCCTCGCCCGACGCAGCGAGGGTCGCCGACGCCGGCGAGGGCGCCTCGCCGATACTGCGGGGTCGCCCTCGCCGGATCCGCGAGGGCGGCCCTCGCCGGATCTCGGCGAGCGGCCCTCGCCGGCTTCGCCTCTAGCCGATCGCCGGACCGGCGACCGGCCGAGGTTGAAGGTGAAGGAAAAAAAAAGAAAAGAAAAGAAAAGAAAAGAAAAAATTCAAAAAATAAAAAAAAATAATATTAAAAAATAGTTCGGGGTAAAATTGTCACATGTGTACCAGTTTAGGATTTTTTATGGTATGTTTGGGGTAAAATTGTCACAGGTGTACCAGTTTGGGGTTTTTTATGGTCAAAAAAATAATTTATGGTAAATGTGTCACAAGTGTACCAGTTTAGGGTTTTTCGTGGTATTAACCCTATAAAAATTCAATCTTTTCAATTTCTAAAAAACAATTGTGTGCAATTGAAAAGACACCGTTTTTACTTCGGTGGAGATTCATTGCACTCTCTTTGTCCTATAATCAATACGGTGACAAATTAGTTCATATTGCTTTATGTCACAGATATGATGTTTTCAAGCCACAAAAAGTTTAAGAGGGGGAACCAAGCAAACTTGAAGCTTCCAAGGGTCAAGGGTTACAATGAGCAATCTATAATATTCCTAGGAGTACCATGAGAAATGTACACTTGTAACTAATTAGGTAGGTGATAAATAGGGAGATTGAACTTTCACCGTTAGATCAACGGGACATTATAGTTACAATTAGAGGGATTCATGTATAAATTGTTTCCAGGACACAATAAGTCGAGGAGGTGAACCATGCAAAGTTGATGCTTCAAAGGGTCCGGGGTTACAATGGGTAATCTATAATATTCCTAGAAGTATAATGAGAAGTGTACTCTTGTAATTAATTAAGGAGGTGATAGAAATGGAGATTGGACTTTCACCGTTAGATCGATGGAAGATTATAGTTACAATTGGAGGGGTTCATGTATAAATAGGAGTCCTCCCCTTCTCATTTGCATCATTCCTCAAATCCAACACAATAAAAGAAATAGAGCATTCTGTCAAATGAATGGGTTGAGTCGGATTTGGGTCGGCTCATAAATGATCTGACCTAAATTAACATGTTTAATTCGTTTTGACCCATTCATTTGTAATGCCAATTTCTCGATCCATATTCAACTTATTTCCAACCTGTCTTAGGATTCATTTTTAGCATTTTTTTTCTCCCTATATTGTTGCATTTGAAGAATAGATGGCTCGATTTGCTCGTCGAGTTAGTGGGAGAGCTCGAGGGTCGAGTTATGGACGAGTGGTGAAAATTCGACCCGGCCATCCACAAATCATGAAACAAATTCAAGTTTATGTTTTTGGGTTAAATGTAAATGGGTTATCCAAACACTACGCACCCCTTCTCAATCGTCACTGGACATTGGCTCAGGGGCTTCAAGGACTTTTTTGGCGGATGACCTTGAGCGGACCTTTGTGCGGGGCTCTAGGCACCTTTGCCGACGTATGACCTTGAGCGAACGTTTGTGCGGGGGCTTCAGGTACGTTTGCCGGCGGATTACCTTGAGCGTACGTTTGTACGTGGGCTGCAGGACCTTTGCCAGCGGATGACCTTGAGCGGACATTTGCGTGGGGCTTCAGGCACCTTTGCCGGCAAAGGACTGTTACCGGGCGTTTGCGTGCCGGCACGTGGCTCCTCAGGGAAGATCGCACGCACCGTTTGCGCGCCGCATCCGGCCCTTCATTGAGGTTTAACTGCGGATTTTTCGGCACACTAAAGGGAGGTTCGCAAACCAAGTTGTGTCTCGTACTCCACTAATGACCCCTCTCCGACTTGACAAGCGCAACCACCTAGATAAATGTCTAATCGATTTAACCTCTTCGTTCTTTCTATATATCCAGATCAGCAAACCATCACCACATCATCAATCCAATCAAAGAAAACGAAAAAGCGCACTCGATCATTCGCTGAAGTGGTTAAGTTAGCCAAAACAGGGGAAAAAATATACATGTTGAATGACTCGATCATCTCGCGGTAATAAGGAACAGGTGCAATTCCAAAATTGGGATTACGATAGATTCATCCACCGATCTTGCATATCATCAGCTGCAAGTGAATTCAAGAGCTTCTCGGTTGAAATTGAGGATTAGTCATGCCGCTCGAATTGCAATATCAGTCGATGGGATACTATTAGTCTCTCCGATTGAATTCGAAATGAATAATTGGTAGCTTTTTAGTCATGTGTAGGAAGATGCTACGGTGAGACGGAAGTTCAACCCAAATATATGAGTCAAAAAATTGATCAATAGCCTATTTCGACACCTATATTCTCGAATTAGGATTCGAAGAACCACACTAGAATCACGGTTATATATTTTGAACTTTTTTATTGTTTATTTTATTTTACGTGTTTATCTTTTATGGATTGTTGATTGACAAATAGAGATCTTTGTTGTTGCGTTCACTTTTAATTTGTTTAATTAAAAATGAAAGAAAAAAGGAAAAAAATGAAAGAAAAAAGAAAAGAAATTGGCCCGATCTAGGATAAATTCTGGAACCAGAATAGGTTCAAGGATACGCAGGATAGGGTTTAGATTCCAACCTTGAATGAAACTTGGATTGAAGCTGGACCGCTCACCCCCTAACCACATCACGTCCTAAGATCCATGTAGGTACCGACCGACTTCCCTCCTCGGTGTGCCGTCTTCCGGTGGGATTCTTCAGCTCTTTTTTCGCGTTTCTTGGGCTTCCGCTTGCTGTATCTGTTCATCGGTGGACTAAAATGGGTCGATGGACCAAGTGGGCTGATGAGGTTTCTTTCTTGATTGTTGAGTCTTCAGTGTTTTTTTTATAAATTGCTTGCATTTATGGGGTTTTTTGAACATTTGGGATGGAAACCAAGTTCTTCCATTTGGGTGCAAGGATTGACTTGCAATTGTTGTGGGCATTTGGCATTAGATTAGTTCTGTGAAAATTCCGGCGACTTGGTGATATCAAATCATAAAGAATCGAGTTTTATGACGTGAATAAAATTTAGCCAATGTGACCACCTATGCATTGAAATATTCTTATTGATAGACCGGTCAGCTGGATTTGACTAGATTTAGTATCGCAAGGACTTAATTAGAAAATGTGTATAAGTAGAACGGTTTAATTAAAGAGAAGTTAAAAATATAAGGACTTGCTTCATAAAAACGTGACAAAATAGAGGGACGAGAAAATATGGTTAATAACACGAAAAATCCTAAATAGGTACACTTGTGATAAATTTATCCCAAACTAATTTTTTGAACAACCAAAAGCCTTAAACCGGTACATTTGTGACAAATTTATCCTCCATTAGTTTCCATTAAATTTTACTGTCAAATTACTTTGTTAAATGATACGCGGCAGTTAACAGATGTACCGGTTTTGAGTTTTACCTTCCGTTTGTCACATATGTACCAATTTGTGATTTTTTTGTATTAATCCAATTTAACAGAAATTAATGGAGAGTAAATTTGTCACAAATGTACTAATTTGAGATTTTTTATTGTCAAAAAATTAGCTTTGGGTAAATTTATTACAGGTGTACCGATTTGAGGTTTTTCGTAGTATTAACCCCGAGAAAATAAAAGGTTTTCAAAACTATATAAATGTAGCAACCAGTAGTCTCGAATGGATTTTCCTTTGAATCAAATTCTATTCCTTATGTGAGAAAACGAATATAAAATTCCAATCTTTTGAATTTCTCAGCAATTCGTTTTTATTGTGGTGGAGATTCATTTCACTATCTTTGTCCTGTTATTAATATAGTGACAATTTGAAGTTCATCTTGCTTTACCTGTCACTTCCATCCCATCTCTTTTTTTTAGGTTCATATTATTTTACCCCCTTTTAAACCAATATTTTATTTTTATCGCGGTACCAAATGATAAAATTAGCTAAGTGCACGGTGAAATTTTTCATTTTCAAAATCTCATGGTACCAAATTGATAAAATCGATTTTCTTTCTCTGACCCAAAAAAAATTTATTTTCTTTTCTTTTACTCTTAAATCCGAAGCAAAACCACAATCATATAATCTTAGCCAAGGCAGCAACCGACTTTCTTCCTCTCTCTCCTCCGCCGTCTTCTGCTTTGTAGGCGGCGGCAATGGCGGAGTAAAGACTCGATCTTTGCAGCGTCTTCATGCGATACGAAGCTTATCTTCGCTTCTGAAGGTTAGCTCCTCCAAAGGGCAAGCTCTCTCTCTCTCTCTTTCGACGCCGCTCGCATCACGGAGGTGCAAAATTCACCCTCGCTCTGTTTCGTTTTGCGAAGCTTTCTGCTTCGCCTCTTCCTGTTCATCGGCGGACTGAGTGGGCTGGAACCCAAATAGGGTATTTCTGGTGACGTTTCTTTCTTGATTGTTGGGTTCAGTTCTAATGAATTGCGTGGAATTATGGGGGTTTTGTTGAAATATGCCAGATGGAAGCTCCAAGAATTGGCTTGCAATTCTGTGAGAATTCTAGTGATATCAAGTTTTTGGTTTATGATGATGGCATGCTCTGATGGTAATTTTCCATTGATTCACGTGATTGTCGAAGTTTGCTTCTTTCAATTGACCCCCTCGAGCAAAGATGTGGAGACTGAGCGGTACTTTGAGTTTGTTTCCTGTCATGGTGGAGAAGATACTGGAATCAATTGTCTGGAGGTTTTTAGCGGACTGAACGAAAAAAGTGCCACGGATATGTCATTGAAATCGCCAAGCATAGTTTATTTTTCGTCATGGGATGTGTGAATGTGCGCAGACTGGATACTGCATCAAGCTGGGTTTCCTGGCTGTGCATTAGTTACTCTGCTTAAGCATATTGACATATCATGCCCATGTATGCGATCTTCCTCGAGATGGGTTGTTCGATCATTCTCCGATTTGTATCCCCGTAGTCATCGCATGAATTTCTCTTTATCCACTTATTGTCAGAAATTTCCTTCAGCTGTATTTATTGTTCATAGTATATGCCATATATAGGGTCCGGGGCCTCTGGTGCATATGTAGCCGTTCCGCCGTGGATGACGACTCTGTTGTTTACACTTGCCATTGTATATACTTCTTTAGCGCAAGTTACTTGTGGCGGGACTTACGCAAGTTGTAGACACCATTTCCATACACGCTACTTCTTTTTAGTCTCGTTATCCTTCTTGCTCATTGTCCTGGTTTTGGGACTTGGGTCAGATGTCTGGACATAGCATGCCTGTGAATGTGCGCAGATTGGATACTACATCAAACTGGGGTTCCTGGCTGTGTATTAGTTACTCTGCTTTAGTGTATTGACGTATTGTGCCCATGTATGCAATCTTCCTGGAGATCAGTTGTTCGATCATTCTCCAATTTGTATTCCCGTAGTTGTCGCATGAATTTCTCTTTATCCACTTATTGTCAGCAATTTCCTTTAGCTGCATTTATTGTTCAGAGTATATGCCATAAATAGGGTCTGGGACCTCTGGTGCATATGTAGCCGTTCCGCCGTGGATGACAACTCTGTTGTTTACATTTTCCATTGTATATACTTCTCTAGCACAAGTTGCTTGAGGCAGGACTTATGCAAGTTGTAGACACCATTTCCATACATGCTACATCTTTTAAGTCTTGCTATTCTTCTTGCTCATTGTCCTGGTTTTAGGACTTGGGTCAGATGTCTGGATATAGCATGCCTGTGTTAATTCCCCATTTGTTCACCAGAATGCTTTTATCCCTCTTAGCTGTTGACGCGTATAACTTTCCTGTTAAAAAGCGCGATCTTGTTAAAAAGCCTGATCTTGTTAACATAAGATATCAATCTTCTCGTGTCTAAATTCTTTGTATTTGGATGCATGGTGTATACTCTGTAGGTGTATAAGTAATGACCATGAGATTCATAATATTTTCATTTAAATCATTTTTCCGGTCTTTCTATTAGGTCCTGTACTTTGACTTATTACCGCTGAAAATTGTTTTTCTTTACTGATTGATTGAAGCTGTTGCTATATTCAGCTCTAATGTAGGTAAATGCTTATATTTACAGGTTACATTGATCCAATTCCCACAAATATGTCGATGTTGGTTTCGAGCACTATCTCCTCCATCCCTCAACTACCAATAGGTAAATAAAAATACATTGCAGAATAGCCTGTAAGCTGATCGATAAGATTTTATTCTGCCTTCATTAATCAATTATGAAAATAAGTGGTGTATAGTCATTCTGAGTTTGGCAATTTATCGTTTTGCTTATGTGGATACTACATGGGCAAGAAGTGCCCTCCTTTTTATGCACGCATGTTAAGGGTGAGTATAAGACTCTTTTAGTCACTTGTTTCTAGATGTGAAAGGGGTACACAAGTGAAGAAGTGTGTGACTTATTTGGAAATAAAGTGTTTCACAAACGAATTGTAGCAGTTATAGAGTAAGCTATTGCTCGTGGTCTTGCTTATGGTTTTTTCCTCCCAAATTTGAAGATTTTTAGCATCTGTGCTTTGATACCTTAAACTTGTACCTTCTTGAAGACGATCTGAGTTATGGGACTATTAGTATTATCCTGTCTTTTATAAAGTTAATATATTCAGAATTCTAGGTTAAAAATAAAATCAGTGCGAAACCTGTTATTTGAGTAATAAAGCATTTTATTTGAAGGTCCTGTCATACTTTTCATTATTGCTAAATTGGTTTAGTCCTGCTTTATTGGATTGAAGTTTCGAGGCTGGTTTCTCTTTTGTTTGGGCTCTATCAAAGTTTTGCTGTGGTCTGCGTTGCATGTATTTAACCAAATAAAGTAGTTATTCATAGAGACGTCTCCTTTTCTGCTGTGGTGTTGTCCCCCATTATCTCTGAAATGGAGGGTATACAGTAAATTATAGATATATGATTGTTGACTCTTAGCTACTTCTGTTGCAAGCGTGTATTTAGGTAGATTGTTCTGCAATAGCACTAATAAGATCTTGTCACACCATCTTCATTTATGCACATTTTATTTGAGGTTATCTTTCTGCATTCTTAGCTAACTTTAAAAAGTATTCCTCGTTTTCTTTTTTCATTGAGACAACATCATATTTCACCCCGATACACTCACCTGAAATTCCGCACTTTCTGCTTGTTGCACCTTTATGTCTAGGTGTTGGGGCCATAAACACATTCTTTTTGGTTATTGGAAAATGAGAATAGGCGTGGTTTTGATTTTATTTATAATTTGAAATTACGTGCAGTTAGAGCAGACGCTTGGTTGCAAGAGCGAACTAAACACTTGCCCTCGGAGCTCCGCATGCAATCTCAACATCTATACGCTCAAAGGGGAAAAGTAAAGCTCATTGCTTCGAGTCCAGCTGGAGTGGGATTACAACTAGAGCCTATTGATAGGAGATTTGCCAAGGCTTCAGTTGGAAGGAGATCTGCTTCAGCCATCTGTTTTGCAGCTTTGGTTAGTTTGAAGTACTTTGGCTCCTCTGCTTGTTTCCTTCTTCATCCTGTTCTGAGATATATTGCTATTTTCCTCGGTACTTGTATAGTATGATATTGACTAAGGAAAATAATCTCGACCTGATTTAACCAGAATAATAATATCATGCGAAGCCACGTCTTCTTGTCATTCCTCTAGTGGTTTGCCAATTAAGCATGAGAATTTTTTTATCCCTCAATTTTCTTAAACTGCTATTGGTATCTTTAGAAAATGAAGTAACTATTCCATGCCACCTTTTAAGAAATCAAGCTGCTGCCCGCATTAGAGAATATTAGCACTCGTGCATGTTTGCTATATCTTTTGGCAGAACCATGCAGCTAGATAACCTGGTGATGCAAATGACCTAAAAATGCTTGGAGGCAGTAAATGGATATTACTAAATTGCTGGTTGAAATACTATGCTATGCTATGCTGTGCTCTCTCTCTCTCTCACACACACACACACAGAGGGTGTGCGCGCTTATGCGCACTTGAATAGATTGTCTATTGATATTCGCGAGTTTTGAAGTCCTTGATTCACATTCTGTCAACTGCTTGCAGAATGCAAGATGTGCTGAAGGGCAAACCCAGACTATCACCCACAAAGCACCGACAATTACTCAAGCACCTATTCACGGTAATAGTTCTATGAATCCACATTGAACCGGTATCAGCAATCTAGCATTATGTGGATTAGGATCGTTCCTATTGAACTTCAATGGTATCTGTTCGATATACATGTAGGAGAGTGCATGAAAAATCTCTTCTCTATTCTAAATGAAGCTGACAAGTTTAACTTGAATTGCAGTCCAGGAGAAATCGCCACAGCTCGACGATGGTGGGACAGGCTTCCCGCCCCGCGATGACGGCGATGGTGGGGGCGGCGGTGGCGGCGGAGGCGGGAACTGGTCAGGTGGGTTTGCCTTTTTCGGCTTCCTCGCTTTCTTGGGCTTCTTAAAGGATAAAGAAAGTGAAGGGGACTACAGGGATGGCAGAAGAAGATGAAACTGAGCATGGTGAGCTTGTGAGATGATAACTCGGACTACCTCAACAGGAGTCCGCTTATCCCTATTCTTTTCCTTTTCGGCGTGTTGTTTAGCATCCGTAGGCTCGATTTTGTCATCGCGTCAAGCATACTTTGCCAATCATAATAGCTTGTACCGTTGTTAACGCCGCAATAATTCAGAATCAACACAATTAATGATCTTTTAACAAGTACTCTCAAGGTGCTGTTTTGACATTTTCCTTATCATAAATGCATCTTCAATCGCTCAGCTGGCAAGCATACAAAAAAAGTACGCTTGAAGACACAGGCCGATGAATGCTGCAGCAGGAACATGTTATGGAAGGGCCACTTGACCTTTTGCCATTAAATCAACGCTACGCAAAATCGATCTCATGTCTCATCTTTTATTATTCATTTGGCCCCAGATGTGCTGTCGCATGTGGCGCTGGAGCTGGCCCCGAACACTACGAATTCAATTCGGGTCGGAGCCATTCGAGGTCGTCCGCATCCCGAGGGCCTCGTAGGCCCCCTTTCGGGGGGGTTGGCTCCCCTCCGACGCCAGCTACATGTGCATGGACAGCGAGCCCTGGTTGGCATTTCGGGGATCCAAGAAACTGATATACGCGCTCGATATGATTTCGATTCGATACGCCAACCCCACCACAGGATTGGGTCATGCATGTCCCCGGAATCCCTATTAATTACATTTTCTAGATACGAGAAATCGAATGTACGCAATTTTTTAAACACGTACGCATGTGGTAATAAATGCGGTCGAGGATTAACAAAACGCAACTGGAGGCTGCTCCCAACTACAAGCTGTCCTTCCAGGAATTAAATTTCTCTTATTTATTCATTTAATTATTCTCTATTGTGGGGAAGAGGGAAGGGGTCATTAAGTTCGGAGTTGCGACAGTCCGATCCAGGCTTGCTTCCTGAGGCCACATCGTTCTCGCCTCTCGCATTGAATATGCTGCGTTTTGACTTTTGAACGGAGAGGTCTCGTGGCCACCGGTTCTCTGTCTTTCATGTTTTGTCCACGCATCGAATTCGGTGAAATTCCTGGAATGTTTTCTAGGATAATAGGGGAGCTTCTCACGGTCGCTCCAGAATAGAACCTCAACTCAATCGAATTTACCCGACGAGAAGGGAAAATTAGGAACAAGGAAAACCGATACAAATAGTCCTTCAATTTTGATCGATATGTAATATGATCTTTGAATTTTTAATTTGTGAACTTTAGTCTAGTGTGTAGTGTGGTTTCAAAATTTTCAATTTGTTCAATATGGTCTCTTGAACTTTTGGTATATATTTAGTTTAATCCCTGAAACTACGTGAAAATGTTCGATGTCGTCACCGCATTACACATTGGGCTAAAGTTCAAGAACCACATTGAACAAATTAAAAAGCTTAAGGACCATATTACACATTAGATCAAATTTCAAGGACCATCTGTACTATTATCCCTAGGAATAATAATTAGCATCGTTCCCCGCGTCCTTCCCCCGCCGAAATTTAAATTCCCTCCGGTCGCTGTCGCGCAAGGAGTAATTCTAGGGGAGAAATCCCGGGCCCGGTCCGATCGGTAATCGCGGCGTCATCACGGAAACAACGTTTAAGTAAAAATCGAATCTTGGTGTCTAAAGGTAAATCAAAGTCGGTATCTGTCCTTGGAGGATGGGAGAGATTTGCGAGGCCGTTTGAAGCGAAACGTGTCGAGTGTGCAGTTTTTTTTTTTTTTGGTCGAAATAGAGATATCATTTCATTAAACCCGGGCCCACCTACAAGAGTAAGGGGCATCAAAACACAGGATTTCCCAAAGAGGGGAAGGGGGGTTACAAACCCAGTTTCGGGGGAGGGTCTTACACCTTGACGCCTTTACAACCCAGTCTGCTAATCTATTTGAGTCACGGGTGCAAAGGACCAATTCTAAACTCTCAAAAAAAGCCAAGAGGCCAATACAATCAGTGATAATTGGCTCAACATCCCAAGGACAGAGGGAAGAATCTCTCAAACAGCTTATCAACGTTGAACAGTCAGACTCTAGCATTAGTTTTAAATGAGGCCGATCAGCAAAGTGTTTGAGGGCATAGAGATAGGCAAGGGCTTCGGTTTGAAGGGCGGAAGATGCTCGGACTGGTCGCGCAAGGCCTTCCATCAATCTTCCTTCTGAATCGCGACATACGCATGCAATTGCCCCTTCCATGGTCCCTGAGAGGTGAGATCCATCGATGTTTATCTTCAGCAAACCAGGGTCTGGTGGTCTCCATCTCGGTTTTAAGTTCAGCGGTACTGCTTCACGCTTTAAGTTGCTTCTATTCCACTTCGCGTAATTACAATGCATGTCTAGAGCCGATTCAATTATGTTAATTGGGTCTGTCTGCTCATGATGGAATACTAGGGTATTACGCGCTAACCAGATTTTCCAGAGGGTGACTGCGATGATCTCGAAAGGTATGTTTTTCTGGGTCATATCATTGTAGTTTTGCAACGCAGTTAGGGTTGCCGAAGAATGCTCCTGCGAAAGACCTCACGTTGCATGAAGCAAGCAAGGAGGTAGCTGCGGCCCACGTGCAGGTGTGCATGTCCTACGCCATGCACTCGTTCCCACCAACCCGCCCTCCCTCCTTCCCTCCCCTCCCTTTAGGCATAGCAAACCCCGTGCCTGCTGCCTATGGAGGTCGATAACTCTCGATCACGAAGTCGGCAGCATTTTCAAGAATCATCTGCGAGATGCACGCCGGATTAAAAGAAGTTTCTATGTAATTCATGCGGTGTGGTGAATTCTATCAATTCTATCGTCCTTGATCTAAATTTATACCGAATTTTCTCGTCGATCCGAATTTGATGGTTGTTGAACTTTGTGTGACCCTCTTGAAATTTAGCATAATCGAGTATTGCGATTCATTCGGACCATTCGGGATCCTGGTAAGTTCGCCCATTTTATAACTTCTGTCGTGTCCCCCCCCCCCTCTCTCGTGCATCAAGTAGATGACTTACGTGACGTAACCAACCAATCAAATTACTCTCGCGACATACGTGTCGACACACTTTAAGTTATAATCGATAAATCCCACCCGCGATTTCGAAAGCTCTCGCTTACAATTTTAAGAAAATTCTATTCGTTACTCAAAATGATACATGATAAGCACATAAATTTCACATAATACTGCAAAACAAAGCCAAATTCAGGAAATTAGGAGTATCAACAGCAGGGCTAAGCACACGCTCCTTCCACAAAAACATATCTGTCAAGTAAAATAATTGGCGACCGATCACTAGATCTCTGTATCTCTACAGTTACAGAAGAAGGAATTACCGGCTTACAATCGACTCGTTTCTTCACGCGCCGCTGTCGAACCCAAGTTATGTGTGGCTTGTTGGAATAGCTCTAGTAGTGGTATTGTGAACGTAACGAACACAACCAAAGATCTCTGCCCTGACCGGTGAGGCACGTGGAAGGAGCTCACCGAAACGGTCTCATCCGATTCCATAGCGTGGACGCAATGGACGCAAAACCAAAAGTAATGTGCAAAACATGGGAGGTTCGCGATGTTCTTACGTGATCTCCAGCTTACGTCCACGTGCAGGCGTGCTCTGCTCGGTCCGAATGCATGATGCAATTAGGGGCCTCTTTTTTTTTGTAATGGAGTTTGGTGATCCGGCGGTCCTTCACCTATCACCTCCATCTCCTTTCATCTCAAACGTATCGATAGGTAGCTCTCTTGGTCGTATAGTAAAAGATATCGTTCACGAATACAACGTACGAAATCCGATGGATGGCTTCCCTTTGTTGTTCACCAAAACGCATTTGATGAGAGTCGCCTTTTGTTTTGTTTTCTGGGTTTTAGGTGAAAAAGAGTTGCTTCATTAGCCTCTTCGTCAAAACTAACGCATGTCCTTTTCGTCTTATGGTTTCCCAAACGAAGGCTGAATACCAAATGGAAGGTTGGAATTCCCGATGCGGGAAGATAAAATTCAAAGGTAAAAAGCCGTTCGGATGAGTATTTTTCTCTCCTTAGGCAAGCGATTCGACGGTACCGTGACAAACACTGAAATAGGCTCGAGCGCTCTCGACTCCAGATCGATTTCTTCGCATCGCGACGTATCCCATCCTCCACAAGAGAAGAGAAACCATGAGGCAATTGCGGCACTATCGAACATCATGTTCCGTGCGTCATCCTGATGAATTAATCGAGTCGATTTTACTCCGTTCGAAAGTATTTGAAAGAGCGTACACAATCATATAACTAATGAGTGGGTTTGCGTCGGGTTTGCGTAAGATCGAAAATGGTTCGATCCATTTTGATCAATTTTCATGTAATACAAATCTATTGACGCGTACCTGCCTGAATTCATGTTACTAAAACACTTCCAAATTTAATCAAATCTAGAAAAACTCATACTGAGTGAGAGAGCGAGATTGAGTGAGAGAGCGAGAGAGACAGTCATAGAGCTGAATTGAATCACAACTGTTTAGCACCCATTTTATTTTGGGTCTTTAGTCTTATCGTTATAAACGCATTTATGACCCGTTTGTCGTATATATAACAAATCCATATAATAACTTGGCAAATCAAATACAAGTTAAGAATCGAGTAGACGATCCATTTTTGACATGTCTATGCACGACTCTTAACACGCGCTGGCACGCGCGCATACAATTTTTTCCAACAACCACCCTCCTCCTCCCAACCATATCTACTCGCCACACACTCTTTGAATGCTAAAACCCCCCTTTCCCTCTCCCTCCCCTCCCCCCTTTAAATACCCTCCCACCTATCCTTCACCTCTTTGTCAACTATCTTCCACCCATCTCTCTTCTCCTCTCCTCGCCGTCGTCGTTTCGATATCTCTCCCTCTCTCTAGGATGGCGCCCGCTTCTCTCTACGAGCCCCCGAACACCGTCTGCGTCATGGACGCCTCCGGCCTCCTCGGCTCCCGCCTCGTCCACCGCCTCCTCCGCCGCGGCTACTCCGTCCACGCCGCCGTCCAGAACGAAGGTCTCCCTCCCTCTTTACTTCACTACTCGATCCGTCCCGGACTTCGCCGCGAGGCTCTTTCCCGGCGCTGACGTGTGTGTGTTTTTTGTCTTCGTCGGTTTTCCGATTTTCGGACCGGGCAGGCGAAACCGATCGGCTGAGGGAGCTGTCGGCCGACGCGGAGAAGCTGAAGATCTTCCGCTCCGATCCCTTCGACTACCAGAGCATCGTCGACGCGCTGAGAGGCTGCTCCGGCCTCTTCTACGCCTTCGAGCCGCCTCAGGACCAGCCGACCTACGATGTACGTACGCCCCCCCTCCCCCATCCATCTCTTCTCCTCCGTTTGAATCTGTCCTTTCTCTCAGTCGATCGCCGGTTAGAGTTCGAATTAGTTCTCCCGGATTTCATCGGATTCCAATAATACCTCGATAACGAGAGCGAGAGCGAGAGAGAGAGAGAAACAGAGGAGTAGCTTGTAGCTCGTGTTGCGAGAGCGTGTACTGTGAGCAGCAAGATGCACACCTGTCATGTCCCCCCGCCCCATTAGGGCTCGCGTTTCCATGACAACTGTTAGAGAGAGAGAGAGAGAGAGATTGATCTGAGAAGAAGCTGTTTTATTAAAAGTGGGGGAGGGGGTTAGCTGGCCCAATAGAACACGAATTGATGATGAGCGATGCATGAATTGAACGACTGTTTTTATGATCAACTGCCCCTTGACCGGAAATGATGGAACGGCTCCTTTGATTGGACATTCTTGTAAGCTTGTGGTTGCCAATTGCCCTGAAATTCCCCTCTTTCCAGCGTTACAAGTTATTCTTACTTGGCTGATCGTTGCGCTCAGTGCCCTAAGGTTGCTGTCGTTGACTGATTCCCTAGAGTCCGAGATGTTAGTGAATTTTCTTCCAGCTTATTTGCTATCCATACCTAAAAAAAAATATCATGGAATTGGTGGAGATCGTTCACAAGAGCAATTGTTGTGAAAGCTCTTATTGAGGAGCGCCTGTGATGCACCTATGAATCGAACTTAATGAGAAAATATTTTAATTTTCAATGTGTTGATGATACATGACGCGAAATATAAAAAATAAAAAAAATACCCCAGCTTGTCGAAATTTATTGAACTTTCTTTGTTAAGGAGTTAATTGATGAAATCCTTATCTTTAATGATTCATCAAAGAAGATCGGTAATTTCGCTATACAATTTTTATGATATGTCTTAGAACTTAGCGCTACTACTACTTCTTGGGTCCTTGGCGATGCGAAGTGCCCCTAAGGACAACCGTCGGCCACATTTGTGATACAAATATCGTCGTATAGTATAAATTAGAAACCGTTAATTATAGTACAAAATAATAGATTCGAGACTTGAAATTGTAAAACTTACAAAGAACAAAAAAAAAACATAAGAGTTCGTGATTTGTTGACTCTGTGTTCCATCGCTGATTGCGCTGGTGATTTCGTTGTTGGGTGGCCCGATGTGTTTCACTGTGTTGCCGACCGCTATCCGGCCGCAGACGGTTGAAGAAGAAACATTATTTGTATCGACCGTACGGGATGAATATTTAAACTCCAAATAGAAATTAAAATATAGCCATGAGCTTTTTTGTATAGTCTAGTGTCCCCTCCACGGCCTAAAAAAACCTGAAATTCTACATATTCCAGAAAGGTATTCGTATGGGAATAAATCAATCGGTCAAATTGATGTACTAGTGCCCCTTAAGAACTTGTTCGACGCCTCAATAGAGAACCTTTTCGTGTTCGATGTACTTAGTAAGGGACCCAATTGTCATGTCCATTCTTTAATGCCATCGGGCAGGCCGTAAGCATCGCGGAGATGGATGTGGGTCCTCAACACCACTTGCACAAGTATATTTAACTGTTGGATGGCAACACTTCGATTAGGCAGAAGAAATCAATTGAGTCTGTTCTGTAGTTGGCTGTCAATTCCAACCTTAATTTCCCAGTAATCTATCATTCCATCGCCTTCGTTTAACGTTTCTAGTTAAGGGAGCCCCGCATCCCCAAATCACCCACACACATGCCTGCGTGCACGCGTGGACGGTAACCGTTGAGGCCGGTGGCGACGGCTAGCCTGTACTTGGTCATCGCTCGTATGATAGATAACTTAAGAAACTAGTTGGAGCAAAGGCTGTTGTCCTGATTCATTGGCCCAAAAGAATTGCCGTCCTAAGTTGTCTTAGTTCTCTTAATTGAGATTTTGAGTAATTTTGTCTGGGAGTTGGAAGTTTCTTTCGCTTTACAGAGTTCATTTTGAGGTCATGAGATGATTGTCATGTGGGTTTCATTTTTGTATATATGCGGGATAAGGATGTAGTTGGTTCTTGAAACTGGTAATATACTTCAAGGAGTATCGAGATCCTGAAAATTGAATAGTCTCCTCGCTTGTAGTTAATTGAGGAACCATTAATTGTTGAAACACAAGCTATTTTAGGCTTTAGCTGTTAAAACGTCGCATAAATCTACAATTAGTGCTTTTTTAACACATAGGTGCAAGCAGTGTACTTGCCAGATAGACTACTGACAGCCGCCATTAATGTCATAGCTAAAGTAGCTAGCTTTCTCGAGAACTGTCACGTGTTTACGTACCTAACGATTGACTTTGTAGCTTCTAGATCCTTTATCTTGTAGCCCTTGCTTGTTTCTTTCTATCAAAACCCTATCCTACTTGAAAAATTAATATATGGAACTGGAAGGATAATGGCCATATAGTCAGTTGATGTAGCGTTTGCCGAATAACGCAACGGTCTTGAAAGCCCTTGAAGAGCTGTCACCGTCATGGCCATCTCGGACCCAAAGAGCCAATTTGCTGTCCACCCAAATAGCTCTGAAAGTCAAATGACCAGGACACCGAGAAGTTATTGCACAGGCTTATCTTTTCGTGTAGGACCGAATGCAAATTGGCTGTGATGTTTCGCTGAACCCAGCTTCAAGTCGTGACGTTAACGTGTGTTTGTTGGGTCGCAGGAGTACATGGCCGAAGTGGAAGTGAGGGCAGCACACAACGTGCTGGAGGCGTGCGCCCAGACGGACACCATCGATAAGGTGGTCTTCACTTCCTCCGCGACCGCGGTAATCTGGAGAGATGACCGGAAATCGCTGGAGTCGGATTTCGACGAGAGGCATTGGAGCAATGTCAACCTCTGCCGCAAATACAAGGTAAGTCTACAAAACAAGTTCCCATTTTCTCTCTCTACTTTCTTGCCTCGAGGTGAAAGGAAAAAGTCTTTCCTTTTTACTGTTGCAAAGGAATTATATGCTTCCCACTGGCTAAGTCCCTAGTGGGATCTTCTTGTACGTTACATTATTGAGATGGGGCTTGTTTTGTTCCGATGCGATGAACGCAGCTGTGGCACGCGCTGTCGAAGACACTGGCGGAGAAAGCGGCGTGGGCCCTGGCGATGGATCGTGGGGTGAACATGGTGTCCGTGAACGGAGGGCTGCTGATGGGGCCTGACCTGTCCATCGCCCACCCGTACCTGAAAGGAGCGGCCGAGATGTACGAGGACGGGGTGTTCGTGACCGTCGACGTCGATTTCCTGGTCGACGCCCACTTGTGCGTCTTCGAAGACGTCTCCTCCTACGGCCGCTATCTGTGCTTCAACCACATCATCAACCGCCCCGAGGACGCCCTCAAGCTCGCCCAGATGCTCGCTCCCTCAGCTCCTTCGATGCCTCAAAGGTGAGGAAACTTCATGCCTCGTCCCTTTCTTTGAGGGAAAGATTACGACATCTTGGACCATGGAGTGAAAGCATTCTCTTAATCATCTTAAGACCCATCATGAGTATAAAAAGGAAAAATATTCGAGTTGGGTCCCTGAGTTTTCGTTTGCTTGGCGTGCAGCTACGAGCAGGAGTTGAAAATCATCCAGCATAGGATCAGCAACAAGAAGCTCAATAAACTCATGGTGGATTTCGAGATAGGAGTCCAGGTGGACGAATCGGTCTGATCTCAATCTCGATTTCGACCCCGGTTTGGGGAAAAGAGAAAGAGGGATGCATTTTCGATTACCGCGTTTATATAGAGATTTTTATTAGGTTCGCTGCTTGTGTAAGAAATAATTCTCTCACTCATCGTCGGATGGTGGTGGACGTGTGGAAGAATTTAGGTATAAAACCGACCCCCAATTCATGCTCCTCGACCGTCCGATGAAGGATGAGAAATTGTTTATTCTGTCACATCGGCGGGGAGCCTAATCATAATCTTTTATGTTTAGTTCGAGGACTCCTAGAATAGGGAGACTATGAACGGTGCTTGGTCACGTGCGGGGCAGGAGACCCGTCTTTGTCTCTGAAAGGTAAGGATGAGTCAAGGGCGGGACCAAAGTGCAAGTAATATACTACGGGGGGAGGACGAGAAGAGGACGGAGATCGTGGACTTTTTCCACGTTGTAATTGTTTGTCTGTCCCCCGAAAGCCTGGTCGACGGCGATGTAAATACATGCTGGATTTCTTCTTCTTCTTCTTCGTCTTGGTCTTCTTCTTGTTTTTTTGTTTTTTTTGGGTTTTGGATAATTAGACAGTTGAGAGACCATATGGCCGACTTGTTTCTCTCTTTCTTCTCGGTTTGCTGCTGTTGTCTGGTAGCTTTGGGTCTTTAATTGAGCCGCAAATGGCAAGTTTCAAGTTGCTTGTGATTCCGAAGCGTCAAAAGTCTCGGTTCATTTCTTGTTCTTGCGTACAAAAATCGAAAGTTGGCGAGGTAAAAGAGCGGAGAAAAGCGAACGCCGACATCGGCAATTCGTAGATGCTCGAGCGCGCATGTTCTCGATGATAGTCTCGCGATTAGCGTCTACTCGATCGTTAATGAATAGTGAGAAAAGATCTTACATAATCTTTTGCGAGGATGAAGTTTTGAATAATCAATAGTTCAAGAAAGAACTCGAGAAATTGAACTTCAATTAAGGTAATTTTGAAACAGTACATATGAACTAACAATGGTATGATGCTCACCAATGTTGTGTAGACCCGTCATATGGGTAGGTCAAGTCGAAATGGTCCGACCCAAATTGACTTATATCCATGCAATAAAATCCTAGCGATTCATACTTGGCCGACCCATATTACTGAAACACTTATATATTTAACTAAATATAGAAAAACTCGTACCTAAACTGAGGTGAAAGCATGAAGTGAGCAACCGCGAAATCGAGTAAAGGCGACAAAAGAGTCATGGGGGTGGATTGGGTAAGTAAGTTGTGGACCTATTTAATACCCCATCTTATTTTGAGTTTTATCATTCTAAACCCATTTATGACCCATTTGCTGAATATAATTAACACATATAACAATTCGGGCCATTAAATATGAGCTAAGAAATGGGTCTACGGTGCTATTTTGATAGGTCTAACGTTACGGGATCATTCTTTTTCAAGCCTGTCGATCTTACCAATAGCCCGATCCTCATCTCGAGGGACCGCCCGCCCTCGCCCAAATATTGCGCCGCCTTTTCTACCGGGCCTATTCGGGCTCGTTGGCCCGTTATCCAGCCCCCAGTCGGGCCCAAAGTGCAGCACGAGCCGGCCGGGCCGGATCAAGGATCCCTCCCAAAGCCCGTTCGCGAGCGAAGAAGATATATAATAAACCCGCGGGGCCACAACCGGGAAGGAAGGCGATCGAGCCATCTCCTGCCGCCACGTGTACCGCCCTCCCTCCTAGCCCCTCGCAATAAAAAAAAGAAAAAAATAAAAAAAAAGGAAAAGCAAAAAGGGGAAAAATAAAAACAGACAAGAGGAAAAATGAAGTAGGAGAAAAAAAAAAAAAAAGCAAAAAAAAAGAAGGGGAAAATCCACTCCTCTATTCTGGGACTGTTCTTCAAACCTTGTCAGTCCAACACGAAATCAAATCCAGCTCTCAGATTCTCCCCCTTCTCTCGCGAGCTCATCATCTTCATCGGCTCCTGCTAGCTCCCCTCTTCCGATCTGCAGATTCCTTCTTCTTCTTCTTCGGAGCTTGTTCTTGTGTAATCGCTTGATGCTCCGGGCTTTCGAGATCTGAGCTGCGATCTCCCGGGTTCCGCCGTCCCTGAGCTGACCCCGCATTTCGTTTCCGTTCGCGCGAAGCTAGAATGCTTGTTTCTGCTGCTTTCGGTGGTGGTTTCGTAGCTACGGAGCTGCGCGTGCTGATCCGGCGAGCTCCTTCTTGAGGGGGGGAGATAGATAGCTACCCCGGCGTATCGATTTGTTTGGAATTCGAGGCGCTCGCCCCGGTTTTGCTGGCTAATCGGGCGAATTCTCGAGCCGCGGAGCTAGGGTTTGTGAGTTTCAGCTTCGTTTACGACATCGTCGACCTGAGGGTTTGAAGTTGAGCGCTGTTGCTTGGTGGGTTTTCTTCTGTTTTGTGTTGTTTTTGGTTGGGGTGTGATGGATTACGGTAGAGAATCGGGCTTCGGCGGTGGGAATGTGGTTCACGTGATCACTGGAGGTCCTAACGAGAGCTGGATGCAGAATTCTGCCGATCCAGGGGTGTGGGCCTCGGAGGACGAGTACCGCGTCTGGAACGGCGGGTTGACGCCGTCCGACGCTCCCTCGAACTCCAATTACGACGGGAGGCAGTCCCAGACGCGGTCTGGGAGCGAGCCCCCGAGCAAGAAATCGAGGAACAATTCGGATTCCGCCGTGTCCAGCAGGTCGAAGGCGATCGGTAAAATGTTCTTCAAGACCAAGCTGTGCTGCAAGTTCCGTGCCGGGACTTGCCCTTACGTCACGAATTGTAACTTTGCTCATAGCATCGAGGAATTGAGGAGGCCTCCTCCTAATTGGCAGGAAATCGTTGCGGCACATGAGGAGGAGAAGGGGGTTGCATCGGAGCCGAGAGAAGAATTCCAGATCCCGTCGCTCGGGTCTTCGGGATTCAGTGGGGAGTCGCAGCGGTCATATAAGGGGAGGCATTGTAAGAAGTTTTACACGGAGGAAGGCTGCCCGTATGGAGATAGTTGTACTTTTCTTCATGATGAGCAGTCCAAGAATAGGGAGAGCGTGGCCATAAGTTTGGGACCTGGTGGTTATAGCGGCGGGGGTGCCGCCGGCGGTGGTGGTGGAGGAGGTGGAGGAGGAGGAGGAGGCGGAGGAGGAGGAGGAGGAGGTGGTGGTGTAGGAGGCGGAGGAGCAGGTGGAGCTGGGGTTGGCTCAAACGTGAAGCCGTCGAATTGGAAGACAAGAATCTGTAATAAGTGGGAGCTCACGGGTTATTGTCCATTTGGAAACAAGTGCCATTTCGCTCATGGAGCTACAGGTATAAATCTAACTTAAGGGAAATATTGTTAGACAATTCTAGTTACACCAGGGGTTGCCATCCTTTTCTTTCATTGATTGAACTCGAAACATGTATTTTCTACACTTCATTCTGTTACTTTCTTCTTGTACATTCTGAGTAATTAGCAGATGTCTAGACCTGTCATAGAGGAGGTGCTTTCCTGTGGTTCTCTAAATGAGGAGATTCATTTTAGTAGAAAGGGTGAGTTCTGAGCTTAAGAAAGGATGCACGAGCAAGCGGACAGAGACAACTAATTTAGTAGTATAGTAACACTATATGATTGTTTAAATCTCAATAGCTCTAATGGACGTTCTTTGTGTGTGCTCAGTTGCTCTGATCACTTATACTTTAATATTTTTACATTATTGATGTCTATAGCTTATGAAGAGAGGTATGTTCAGCTGTGTGTTATACTCTGATAAGCATGCTCTCTTTATAGCTTCTAAACGGTAAAGGGAGCTCAGAAATGGAGTCTCTTTCACATTGCTTAGTTGTTACTGGCACATGCCATCCCCCTTATTAAAAATTAACTTCGCTCTCCAGATTTCTTTGCAGAGGAAAGAAATCATCAACCCTTCTCTGAGCCATACCTTCGCTCTTGAGAACTTACAAGATGTACCATATAACCAACCAACCAAGCATAAACCACTTGAATTTAAGCTTATTCAAAAGCTGAAAGTGCAAATAGTCTACGTAGACCTTAGACATGTAGATATAGGAAGTAGAAGTGAAAAGTCATGACATGGTTGCTTGGGAGATGGAAGAAACTTGTGTAAAAAAGTGGAGGATAATCGACTGTGAGAATGCAGAAGTTCCATTTTTCTTCTTGGACAGCCAAGACTTCCTATAAGCAAAATATCCTCATAGTCTCCATATAGTTGCCAACTCTTCTTATTGGTTGTTTTCCATTTTAGATGACACTCGAGGTAGTGTGACCAGGACATAGCAATTCTGGACATAATAATTAAATTAGGCAATTCTAGTCGAGTTAATAAATAGTGTTAGGAATTAGGATACAAGTATGGTGGTGATGAGTGCTGAACTGGTGATCCTCTGCATATATGATAATGCACCATGTATTGCTTTTTTTTCGTTGGCGTGTGTGTTAATGGCTTATATCGATAAATTTTGTCTGCAAGACTGAAACTGCATTCACGTGGTATTCCTCCACATTATCAGAAGCATATCCTATTGGTTCTACCAAATAATTTTAGTTTCTTCGTGATGCAAATACTGCCGAATCTTTGACTTTGTATCTGAATATGTGCAGAATTGCACCGGTATGGTGGCGGTCTTGTGGAGTCTGAGGCAAGAGATTCTACTTCAGCACCTGCTGATCCAAAACAGGGAGGAGCTCCTTCAAAAACTCCTGCAGACACGGCAGTTGCATCAGTGGTCTCAGTTCCTCATACAGATGCTTACCACATGGGTGTTCCATCGCAAAGATCAGCAATCATAATACAGAGGCCAGGACAGAGAACTCATCAGAAATGGAAGGGTCCAGACAAGATCAGCAGGATATATGGTGACTGGATCGATGACATTGAGTGACATCGAGAAAGCTCACTGTGGAAGCAGCAGTTACCTGATAACAACCCTACTCACAAGATGGTTTGAGCAGGAAACATCAGAGGCACGAGAGTATCATCGAGCTTCGTCTTGAGTGTCAACTAGTTTGCTGGTTTCAGCCGCGTAGGAGATGCATCGCTCCGAGAGGGCGAAGGAAAAGGAAAAGGAAGGGAAAAAAGAGTCGGGACGGATGCGCACGAGTTCGGAAGTCCCTTTTTACTTGCATATGAGTTCTTCATTTTGTACAAGGAGCTTGATGCTTGTATCGCCTTCCTGGTCCCAGTCTCATCTTCTGGGAAAGATCTATCAAAGATCAAATGTCCTTCTGTTACTGAGAGAAGGTCCATCCGGGAGAGGGTGGATTTCTGGGAATTTTCAGATTGTGAAACTGACCCTTTTCGGAATTTTCAATAATCTCTAGTTGAAAGCGGTTACTTTCTCTTTTTAATGCTTGATTTATGAACTATCACTCAGTTATTACATCTGTAACTTTGACAATAATTTCGGGCATTACGTATATTCATGTCTGTGTTTTTTGTTTGTACAGCTTAACCGAGTGCATTGCACTTTTGGTCTCCAAGATGAAGCAATGACAATTGGAGTTTGTATGAATCTCGTATATACGAAGAAGCTAAGATCTCACCTGATTTTAGTGAATCGTTATTGTTCTTGAAGGATGATACTTCGGTAATTACATTTATTTAAGGATTTATTTGTTACGTTAAAAAATGAATGATTTGAAAAATAATTTCTTAAAATCGGTTGTTTGTATCGATTGAAATAACTAGTCGATAATTTTTTTTTTTCATTATAGATGGATAATAAAAAAATATTTTTTATTTGTTCATTTTTAAAAGCAATATAAATTTTTGGAAAACGTATTTTAAATCATTTATTTTTCGTAAAATAAATGGGGCCTAAGTTCAAAATATAAAAAAAAAAAATTATACATAAAAGGGAAATCAAAAGGTTGCCTTTTGCTTTTATTGAAACAGAAACAAACATGCTCAAAACAATTCTGATATCATGCCGGATTTTTATTCGACACCAAATTAGAGGAGTATATGATCGTGATACCCGAACTCGATCTGACACGATTTAACTTGAAACCGCCGCTAATAGCCACATTTTCAATATCATTTCTGATAAAAACATTTCGTTATTACATTGAAACGTTTTTGTACCAACAAGAAATTACACAAATAGTCAACATGAACACGACACGCAAACATTAACTGACTTAGAATGTTGTTTCGTTTTTTGTAAATTCTTCCATTCAAATAAAAGATTCTACACGTTAGGGAAGGAGTCGAAGAGAATTTTTTTAAGGCTGTGTTTGAAAGAGAGAAAGGCCTAATATCATAAAAAATACCAGATTGGTATATTCGTGTCATATTTATTTTAAATTAGTTCTTGTGTCACAAAGGCTCATATCAGATTAAAATCTTTTGTGATAAAAAAAATTATTTTGATACGGTCGTATTAGTTTGGGGGATTTTTGCGGTATTAGTCTTTTAAATGAATTAATAGATTCAATTGAGATGGGGAAGAGAGGAACGCCTGCTTTTCCTTCTCTTCCTTCCAGCCGAGTGATCAAAGCTTGGGTTCTGCAGTTCCGTTTCTCTTCTCTTCTCTCCCGGCAGCAATGGAGTCTCGCGCCAAGTCCTTCAATCCTACCAAGCATCTCAAAGAAGAGTTCGATCTCTCTCCCTCTCCGTCTCTCTTATTCTCAATTTCAGTGACTACTGACCGACTGACTGCGTCGCTCACTCGGAGATCCTTCGTGTTGACCGCCGCTCAGATTCGTCAGCAACCTGAGGGGATCGTCCATGCTCGAGATCGCCGCTCTCTCCACCGTCGTCCCCGTAAGCCGCCCTTCCTCCCTCCCTCCGCCCGCTTCTCTTCGCTCCCTATAGCTTTGGTGGCGGATTCATTGTTTGTTTCGCTTCGTTTCGATCGTCTCAGGTCGTGGTGCTTCTGCGGCACTCGCTCGGCTCCCGCTCTCCATCCGGTACCCGATCGCTCTTTCGCTCTCTTCAAGCTGTATTACCGTATCGATTTGCTTGTGACATTGTCCGTGCTGCGTTCTGGGATTGTACTAGGAATTGTATGTTCGGCGTGGCGCCGGAGTTTTTTCGGTTTGGAATTGCAAGTTTGGAAACACTTTGGGTGTTTTGAGATTGAAAAATGTGTTGTTTGATGGTGGTGCGAGTGTTGCTTGTGGCGACAGGCGAAGGTGGCGGTGCTCTTGGTGGACCTGCCGGGGGAGCAGAGGTGGTGGTGGTAAGGGTGACGGTGGATGTTTTAGTGACGATGATTGAAGGTGGTAGTGGAGGAGGCGGCGGTCCTACTGTGGTGGTGATGATAGGAAGCGGCATTAATAGCAGCTGTTGTGTGATGTGGGGGTGATGGTAGAGTGTAGTGGGGTGGGATTGGGCTTGACATTGGTTGTGTTCATGCCGGCAGACAGATGTTGTCGCAGTGGTGCTCGCATCGGTGATAATACTAGCAGTCACATAATTGATGTTCTAATTTCATGGTTAAGCGAATGTGGAAGCTTGAGTCTGCTTTGTGGTGTGGCTGAGCTTGTGAAGTGTTTGTTACTATAATTGAATTCCAAACTCCAGCCTGTATAACGTAGGACCAAATGAAAAGGTTAAATTTGATCCGTGTTGTATGGTTCCAAGGCTTAATTCAATGAATTAGAACAGCGGCTTCATGTGCTCATACCAAATATATTGTAGTACTTATAAAAATAAACCAAACTCGATACCATTTTAAAAAGGCAGAGTTTCAACTTGTTATAGCATGAGCACAGAAGTTCTGTATACCTTTGGAACTTGCCATGAGCCTGCAGCCCTAGACAAGATCTCTTAGGTTTTATGGAATAGCCTCTCAGAAGGGTTCTTTTTTTTAATGTAGCATACCTGTAGCTGAGAGTGGAATTCTGATGTTAATCTATTTCGACAGACCTCGGTCACAAGGATGCTTTGTCAAAGAGAAACCGCGAATCATTAGTTTCTCCTAAGAGCTGGAGGGCTTACATGGCGACACTGACATTGGATTACCTATGTATTATTGTCCCCATACTGTTATCTTTTACTGTAAGTTTCTTGAACTAGCAACTCAGCTCTTTGAATGAAGCTTGTGTACTAGAGGGTTTCTATTATTTATCGAGTCTTCCTCGTGAGCAGGATTTGTTGTTCACAGTTTCATAAACTCAGTATCACCGTGGTGTTCTTTTCTAACAAGTTTTGACATCTTCCTTTCATGCTTAGAAGTCGACAACTCCTAGACCTTTTATTGGTGACTTTCCTCAAATAATATATTTTCGGAGCAGTATTTATTTGCTTAAGCTGTTTTAGATTTTCTATTCTCTAATATTTGAGGTTTATACAACAAAATTTTCTATGGATACTGATAAAAATTGAAGAAAGAAGCATGATTTATGTAATGCTGTTCATATTCCATACCACTGAACAATGAGGTTGCTCAAGATCTGTTCTGGGAAACAACTGCTTTCACTTTTAGCAAAGGGAAAATGACACAAACAGTCCCTGAACTTTGACCCAATGTGCAATTTGGTCCCTGAACTTTTAATTTGTTCAATGTGGTCCCTAAACTTTAACCTAATGTTCAATTTGGTCCCGAACTTTTGATTTGTTCAATGTGGTCCACGAACTTTTAATATGTGTTCAATTTAGTCCCTGAACTATTTAAAAATGTTCAATGCAGTCTTTCCATTAATTCAAGTGCAAGGACTATATTGAACATTTTTATATAGTTCAGGGACTAAATTGAACACATATTAAAAGTTCAGGGACCACATTGAACAAATTAAAAGTTCAGGGACCAAATTGAACATTATTTTAAAGTTCAGGGACTACATTGAACAAATTAAAAGTTCAGGGACCAAATTGTACATTGAGTCAAAGTTCGGGGACTGTTTGTGTCATTATCCCTTTAGCAAATTCTGGTGTATCATTTTAGCTTGAATGGAGAGAGATATTTCCTGATCTTTCCTGCTATTCTTTTACCTATTTTACACACTCTAGTTTGTTCCTAATCATGAACAAGTTTACATGTCTCAGGTTCTGTCAGAGTGGACGTACTGGTGGACAATTTTGTTAACATTTTCTCTGGTTCTATGTGCAGCAATTAAAAGGTCCACTCTTTAAATACTGTTTTCGGATCAGTATCTCATGTGCCGAAATATTAGAGATTTACACAAAATGCATAAGCTGCATGTATATGCCTAAATGCATGTATATAATCTCAAGACTGCATGTTCTTATTTCAATTTCCTGAGCAGTGTAGGACAGGATGCTTTCGTACACAGCTGGCTTCTATTTTGTTGCTGACCCAAGTATTGATAGTTTCATGCAGATTTTATTCTTCTCTTCTTTCAAGAGTGGCACCTAATTCTTTGAGGACAGATATTTCATTGTACAGGGTTTGCATGGTATTTAAGTTGGATGCTTTTCTTTCATGTTAGTACAGCTTATTTTAGCAGCTTATCCATTTCCTTATGACATAGTTTTCCCCGCGAGGTTGATTGCTGCAGATGATTGTGACTTGTTTGTGTATCTTGGCTGTTGACTTTAGAATATTCCCGAGGAGATATGCTAAAACTGAAACTTTTGGCACTGGATTGGTAAGATGCATGACCTCCTCTTATATCATAGAGCTGTGGTGCTACTTTTGTGGGTCCAAGTCAATTGTTTCACCATCTTTACAAGCAGCTTGAACTAGGTCAATATTCGAAGGAGAAAAAAAAGAACAATAAAAAGTAGCTGGAACTGGCATATTTGACATATTTGTCTGTTTCCGTCTTCTCCAGATGGATCTTGGTGTTGGCTCATTTGTGCTGGCAAATGCTTTGGTGTCAAGACAAGCTCGAAACATTTCATCTGTGTGAGTGTTTTTCCCCTTTCCAATTTATTAGTCTCTACAACCTTAAATAGTTCAACACACAAGATTGAAAGATTGTGACATGAGGTGCAAAAAGTTGAAGATAGTCGACCTTCGATAATGAACTCATCCACTGTTAAAAGTCAATTTTGATGGTTTAATTTTTCATATCTTCCTCTAATTTTTTCAGGAATCTGATGACAGCACTAAGAAATACCGGTCCTCTCATTGCTTTAGGGTTTGGACGGCTTGTTTCTACAGCTGGTGTAGATTATCAGGTGGAATATCTTCCCTCAGATTGCTTTTAGGCTACCAGCATTTGCGTTGTATCATTGCATATGTGTAGATATAATTATCATCCTCAAGGGTGCTATATAATTAAATATGTACATGAATGTAGAGAGACTGAACTAAGGGTAGTACTACTCTTGATGGGTAAGTATCTTCTCAATGTCTGTAGGTCTACATTAAGCGGAAGAGTTATGCGTAAAACTATTTACACCAACTCCATCTGGGTAAGTCATAGGAACTCTATTTTACCCAGGATTCTCGAGTAGGTGGCTATTACCATCGGCTTCGGATAGTCTCCTTTTTATCAAAGAATTACAGTATAAGCTTATAAAAAAACC